ACGTAATCCAAGTGAGTCGCAATCAAACCCCGGTATTGAAAAGGTCTGCCCAGAACCATGTAAAGAATTACCAAGGCCCATTTATGGCTGAGATTGTCCCTTGCTACCCTCCAACTACCCGAGTTTTAAGTGTGACTCAAGTGAACTTGACTTCAAGTCTTTCGCACCATGTGGGACCTGCCTTGTGCTTCATGGAGAGACGCCAGCACCTCGGCAGCCTGCTCCTCCAAAGCGCAGACTAGTTTCGCGTCCGAGACTCGAAAAAATGCACCCTACGACTTGATGAGCTTTGAGCCGGCCGCTTGAAATTGAATACCCAAGATTTGATTTTAGCTTTGAGCCGGCCGGAGATTCCTTCCAAAGGCCTGGACCATGGCTCGCGCGTTTTCAGTGTCGGCTCGCGCGCCCGCGCTGAGCTCCTCGGGCTCATCACCCTGCGGATCCCAGCTGGCGCCTCGAAGCTCGAGAGCGAAACCGCGAGTTCGCGCGGATTCACAGCATGGGTTTGTCTCAAACTGGGGCTTGAAACGAGGAGTCCTGTTGTTTTTCTTTGAAACAACCGCAAAAAGGGTCCCTCACAAAAAGACACAGCCGTATTGTAACTGGGAGACCTTGTTTCAAATTGCAAGCCTGGCTCTCATGGCAGACTGGAGGTTTAGCATGAAGCCCCAAAAATACAATACGGACTACGGAGCCATTGCCCCCGAGAGAGAAGGCCTTCGTCACAGTCGCCAGCGCCCAGTGCCTGAAGGCAAGAGCAACAGACAGAGAGAGAAAAACGCAATGGCGAGCTCCTTGTGCTTGATAACTGACTTGGCATGCATGAATTCATGCATTATTATGCGCGAGATCAATGTCCAATGTAAAGTTTTGGGACGTGCAACACTTACCTCCAGTCATCGCCGACCAGAATGTGCTGCGCAGCTTGGCTTGCGTCATCTTATCAGGACAGGCAAGAATAGAGCAAACTGGTACTGTGGTGCGTCTTGAAGGCCATTGCAGAACTTCGGATTACAGCCAGCAAGTCTCAACCACTTCTATGAAAGCTCACATTTTAGAGGGTTGCAATCCGGGAAAGTCTGGATTACACGCTCTCAACTCGCTAGATCCATGAATCTAACGGCAACAAACCCCTCAAGCAAATACCTACTGTGGATCTGTGCGAGCGGGTGTTTCAAAGTTGATGTAGTAGGTAGTGAAGCTTAAAAACTCGCACACACGATACTTCTGATCATTGTGCCCATCTCCTCGTTTCACTCAGCTCGGTTTCCGAGACTCAACGTGTCTTCCCTTTAAGACCTCCCTCCATCCACCGATCGCGGAGCTGATCCGCGGATCCGCGCCCCCGCGACCCCCGCGCGACCCAAGCCGACACCGACGCGCGCGTCGCCTGCTGCAGCTTCGCCATCAGCGCCGCGGTGGGCTTCGCGTCGGGGGGCCACTGCGCCAGGGCGGCACAGAGCGCCTCCGGCTGCGGTGCCAGGGCGGCGTCCTCAGTACGCTGGTCCTCTCCATTAAAGAAAAAAACATAATAATAATGACAATAATACTGATAATGACAATAATTCTATATGGATGTGACTTTTCGTTAACTATGGGTGTGTCTTTTTGAGGATACCCCTTTTGGCGGTGGTGTTTAATGCCCAATGGGTTGGGCAACCATATGGGCTGTTCATATGCGCTTGTCTATGCAGATTGGAGAAATTCTCAGAGATACAACGCTGGATTTCAATCAGACCAGTAATGCCCGAATTGTGTGTTGATCGCTCTGTATGTTTTGCCGTTTCTTGCGAAAGAAGCGATGTTGGCCAACGACAGCTTTCCTTGGGGAAGATAATCAGCAAGAATAATGCACGCGTCGACCATAACTTCTGATCCCGTCTGTTCTTAAGCAATCTTCAGCTTGAAACAGAGTTTGGGGTTGCCCTTCAATATCCGAGATTCTGAGGAAACGTTTTGCGGGTTGATTCGAATCTAGTCTGTTCATAAGCCAGGGATCTGTTCCAGGCTGAGATTACTCCAAATACTTGAAGCCTCAATCAGGGCAACACTTGGACTCCTGGACAAAGCCTTGGCTGTCCCTTGGATTCAATGTTCTAGTCACACGCTCTGGGTCACCTCCCTCTATCTCCGAGATTGAAAATCCAAAGACTCAAAAAAAAAAGCCAAAGACAGAGGGGTCTGTCCTAAAACAGGGGAATCCCAACACGGCTTTCCTTTTTCCTTCCCTTCTCCCCAAACAAAAGGTACCTCAACCATGGGGACAAAAATAGGGTAACCCCAAAATGGAACCTTAGTAAATGAAAAGCATGGACCAAAACCTGCGGTCCCCCTCTTTCTGGTGAATAATTAATTTTGACATATCCACCCCCAGCCCCACCTCTCGTTCCGCGTCTCGTTTCCCTCCGGTCCCAGCGGCGAGCTGGGCGAACTGGGCCACCAGCTCCCCGGGCACCGCGACGCGGCGCCGCAGCGAGGCGAAGTGCAGCCCGTGGCGGCGCCGCAGCCCCGCCAGCAGCACCTCCTGGCCGAATACGCGAGCGCATGGGGGGTGGGGAGGGTGGGGGTGGGGGGGGTGGGGGGGGTGGGGAAAGTGACAAAAGATGCCACTGCAAAGGTTTTAAGGGACACCAAAGTCGTCAAAATAGCTTGTGTCCAAGAGGACATGGGAAACTTATGGAAATGTCACGATTCTGATTATTGTGGCAATTTAGTGAGCTCCCCCATGGAACTGGAACAAAATGATTGGAAACGTTGACGGAACCTCTCCGTGATTTGACCATATTAATATGAGATAACAGTCAGTTCCTTACATCAGGACCTAGGTACAATTGACAGACATGCCCGGCATGAGAAAGACGTGAAGCCTCCCGACTCCCGCCTGGTCCCAGCCAATGAGCAGCGCGTCATCGCCCAGCCAGCACAGCCGCCCGCTGCCCGTCTGGCGTGGGATGAAGCCCACCTGCCCAGCGTGTGACGTCGTCACTTTGTGACCCGGGGCAGTGAGTTCAAAGATTCGCAACTCCCTCGCTTCCCATCATGCGGCCACATGGGGCCCTCCTTTATCTTTCGTCCTGACTTTTCTGACCCCGGCAGCCAAATCTGTCGGCCTTCTGCTGCGTCTCCACGTCCACGATCTTCACCCCCTTCTGGTTGGCCCATGCCACCAGGGAGCCCTGCCACTTCACCGCGGACACTGCACCCTCACCGCCGTGCAGCACGGAGTGCCGCGTCTCCTCCGCTTGGCCGCAGGCCGCATGTGGCAAATTATAGATCCCAGTGGCGCGGCAGCTTAACATGCGTTGTTCTTGCAGCAAGAACAATATGCGACCAAGGATGGACGTGCGGTATCTCGGACAATGTGGGATTCACTAGCACGACTCTTCGGCGGTCGCACCATGTTCCAGCGTTTGTGTTCAAGGTCATGGAAGCTGTGTCATCCTACATTGAACCTGAAGATGGAAAAACATCTGGAGTCATCCAGCATCACTGCTTTTGAACCGTTTAGGAGTGATGCCATCACCACCATCAATATCATTGTTCGCCTCGCCTCCCATGGTGCATGTTTTACTCTTCGATCCTGAGACATACAAGTTGAACACAAAATATTTACTTGATCCTCCAAAGATAAAGATGTCGTCGTTACGTTCCTGTGCCGTTTGCCCTCCTAGACAAGCTTGCGCATGGTTGGGAAAAGGAAAGCGGTAGAAAGGAGTGGTTTGTCACAATGGAAATGGGGAAATCTTCTTCAAGGCTTTCGTAGGAGGAACATGAGGAAACGTTGATCAAACATGTTTTTTTTTAGACACGCAAGGCATGGCATAGTTTCCTATACGCTCTTTGGCTTACATGATCAAACAAATGAACAAAAAAAAGAGCAACTTTTCAGGCACAAATGTTGCCTACCTCTCAGCCGAGACACCAAGCGGCCGCGGCGGCTCAGCAGCACGCGGCCGTCCTGGGGCAAAATGCTAGACTCCAAGTGGAACTTCCGCGGTGAGAGGTTCGTATGGCAAAGAAACCCTGCATGCATCTCTGTGTGGCGAATTCCGCTGCAAGCATCCGGAAGGAAGACATGTTTGGCTTCAGGGGCTTCAAACGCGCGCGGGACTCTCGAACGCTCAATGTACCCTCGTGGCTTTGGAGCTCTCAGCGCACCTCGCCGCCGGAGCAAATCATGCGGAGCCCGCAGTGCTCGCCCTGCCACGTGGTTTGCGTCACTCGGCAAATGGTGGGACCCCCCTCCCACTTGTTGGAAGCTTTCAGAAGGAATCCAAGAGGAAGCTGTTGCCACCATGAGACATTTTGCTGAGCGCAAAGCTTGCACAGCCACGCTGGGAGCCAGGCTGTTACGTAGCGAGGGCAAATGGCGATGCAATGCACCTGGCATGGATTTCAGCGAGGTTTGTGTGGGTAATCATAAACCCCGAAACATGTTGGCAATGCTAGGAGCCTGTGTTGTGTAAAGTGTTTTCCGAATTCAGGATCCTGTGACTGTTTTCGGGTCCTCAATTGTGACAAGTTCCCGCCCCCCCCCCCCAAGAAAAGAAACAGGCAAGCAAACAACTGGCCAAAAAAGTCTGACAAAAACGGGCAAGCAAATCCGGGCAAACATTAGGAACTCATTTTTTGCTGGTGGTCCCCAAACCATCAAATTTAAGATAACTTCTTTACACAAAAGTAAGCGCAAACAGTCACACAAAGGGGTTGCCCACAAGAGGCCCTGATCCTCTTTGTTGTGACTGTGGTGGGGCCCTCTTTAGTGTCCAACTCTTTTGGGGGTTCCTGAAATTTTCAAATTAAGCCTCAACCTTTTACACAACAAGGGTGGCTCACCTAACCAAACTCTTCCCAGAAAGGGTAAAGGCCTTAGATCTAGGAAGTCCATTTATGGTCCCCAAACCATCATACTTCAAGATAATTTCTTTGAAACAAAATAGGAAAAACATTCGCAGAAAGGGAGTTGCCCCCAAGAGGCCTGTTTAATGTCACTGTTTTGGGGTCCTCTTTAGTGTCCAACTAATTTGGGGTTGCTGAAAAAACGGGCTGGCTCTTGGCAATACTGAAGTACAGTTGGCAATACTAAAGTAAGTACTGGGAATCTGAGAGTCATGGCAATACTAAAGTAGAATTGACAATCTAAAGTAAGTACTGGGAATCTGAAAGTCAGTACTTATGTAGAATTGGCAATACTAAAGTAAGTGCTGTCCCTCCCAGACCCCCCCAATTTCCCAGCAGGTCCAACACTACTCAAAACGTCATGCTTGAACTGATGCGGCACAGCTAGCATTCAATGCGACTGTGATTCAAGTTCAGGAAAACATCTGTGTTCATCCCGTTGAAGAGAACCCAGCTCAATTTCCTTATCTGTATCGAGCAAGGATTCCATGGTCTTGGCACCTGAAATCAAGGCCGGGTCCGCGCACATTTCAGCTCACAGAAAGCAACTTGCAAGCTAGCAAGTTCTTGCTACCCTCGGACACAACTCTTCACAAGCGGTTCCAGGCGAAGCCGCTTTGTCGGCGAAGATGGGCCAACAAAATCCGGCGCCGTCCCTCCCCGCCCGTTGCAACCCCCACCTGCAGCTGGCAGCGCCAGCGGTGGCTGCCGTCCACGGCATCCACCGCCACGGTGCCGTCCTCCCAGGCGCTGGCCACGTATCGCCCAGCCGCGTCCAGGGAGAGGTCCCGCACCAGGCTGGGCAGCCTCCCAGTGCAAGCAAGCCGACGGGCTTCCTGGGTCCAAAGAAAAACTGGTCTAAAGTGAGAAGGAAAGAGACTGCGATAGGTTGATCGCTTTTCTGATGTTTGACATTCCTGAATCCAACCCTGCAAACGATTGCTGCAAAGTAGGCAGCCAAGCCAGCGTCAAATGCCGCCCGAAAGCACCGCGACAAGCAATCTGCAACATGACATTCCAGGGCAACGATTAAGTCTTGCCCTCAGCAATCGAGTTTGGCCAAAACTGCCCAGGAGGGACAAACAAGTGCGTCTGTCATATTGATGTCGCAAAGCAGGGGATCAAGAGAAAATGCGGCAGAACATCATGAGGCACCTTGTCAACAGAATACGAAGGGGAAACTTCACGCTGATCCTTGGTTGCCTTGCTCTCCCAACTTGCGGCTCCTAAAAGTCTATGACCGTTCGGCAAGCCATCCCCCCCCCAAAAACAAAAATACGGCAACAAACCAAAACCCGCCAAAAGCCCGCCTTTCGGCCCCCCGTTTGCTCGCCATCGCCTCCGCAGCTCCCACGCCTCTTTGCCTCGGAAGGCTTTGATGCAGCCCGGCAGCGCTGCCACCAGTAGATCGCCCACCAGGCGAAAGAAGCCGTCCTCACCGCGTGTGAGGGGACCTCTGATGGGGCTCGGACTCCCTTTCGGTTGGACCACAAGCAAGTGAGTTTGTGCTTTTTGGATGCTACCCTTTTCAGACTGGCATCTAATGGGAAACCAAGAGGAAACTAACTATTTTGAGAAAGCCCAGAGCGGCATGCCTTCCTTGATGCCCGCTGGCATCGTTTGAGAAGCTACTCCCATGCTTGCTTTTGTTCTTGCTTGCGTCGCGCTTCTGGAATCTCTCTCTCTCTCTCTCTCTGTGTTTGTTCTTTGCTTCCGGGAAACGCCCCCCTGTCCTGAACTTCTGCTGGCAGCGTGCTGTTGAACATGGTCCATGGCTGCAGTGCAGCTCCCGGGTGTCTGTGTCGGCTTGAGAAAGCACCGGAGTGTGGCTGGAGAAAGCTTCTAGAAATCTGTGAATGGTCCTCGTTGCAGGTTCTCTTACAGCGCCTCACGTCCGTCTCCTGGAAAACCCAAGCGGAGGTAAAGCTTGGCATGTAGACTACAACTATCCCAGCTTCCTATTTGGTTCAGTCCAACAAACAGACATCCTTTTAAAAAACATGGGCGCATCTGTTGCATTCCTGAGACCGAGACAATCATCACCAGATGTGTTCCATCCGCGTGACGCTGGGTTCTTCGAGGGCCACGAAATGCGTTTAGGCCTGCGATGAGCCAAAGGCTGCTGGAAGGTAGTGGAATCAACTGGAGGCTTTGCAAGGAGCGGTTTGGGAGCTGTGGTCACTAGGCTTGGCGCTCTTGAGCGAAGCGCTAGCATTCCCCATTCTCAGCCAATCGGAATATCGGAATTGCCACACTACTTTCACCTCTCCGGCAAGCGCTGCTTTCATTGCGTAAAAGCAATGTCAGGTGGAAAACATGTTGCATCTCTGGGCATACAACGCCTTTTTATCGAGTAACCAGAAAGCAAACGCCGACCGAAAGCACGGCGTGTCTAAGAACTCGAAACATGCCCTTGGCCGTCCCATAAGCCGTGGTCTTCACAGGCAACAGGCCGCAGTAAACAAATGGAGAAGCTTGACTGTTCAAGCAGTACAGTATTGAGAGGAGCATTAGCAGCAGCATATCATCAGCAACAGCAGCAGCAGAAGCAGCAGCAGGTTCTACAATGGAGGTCGCTATACTGTGTGGCAGTGGCAAGCCAGCCGTTGTGCTACGTGCAGTCAAGCGATTAGCATCCCTTGACCTTCTTTGCAGGCCGAGGCTTGCTAGAATTAGTGACGGCAACAGGGACCCTTTTGGAGATGGGGTCCCTGGTTTTGACACATGCACTGTGACGTGAGCTCAAAAATCCTCAGTGCGAGTTCTTGGAACTCGGGGCAACTGGGAGATGCGATACCATTTACTTGGCACATTCTGCAGTCACGAGGAATAGGACCCGAGCATGCTGGAAATATTGTGACATCATGTTCCAAGTCAGATTGTTCTTTGTCTCGGGGGGCGCGCACAGCTTGCAGCTTCGCTGAAAGCAGTGGCGTCACTGCAGAATGCCTTCTCTTTCTTGATGCAAATACTCCAGAATGCAACGTTTCGGGAGGCCACGCACATCTGACCTCTCAACCGCCTCCGCACCAGACGGCAAACATGTGCCTCCCCCCTCCCTGTTCAATCTGGTCATTAGCATTGACGTCATCGCAATGGCACAACTGGATCGTGGCTGACGTCAGCGACCTTCCTCAGCTCAAGAGCAAATTGGCTGCAAATCTGCGCAACCCAGATACTATGTGCAAGCACAAGTGCTATTCATGGCTTGCCGCTGGAGTGACAATCTTTGGAGCATGTCGGCTTCGTGGTTTGGGGCTGGTAGTCTTAGTGACTTGGTGGTTTGGTGCTTCTGAGTCTGGGTTACAAGTGCCTGGTAAAACAGGTTTGGGTGAGAAACTTCTGCACGGGCAGGTGAATGGCTGGCAAGTCTCGAGCAGGAGTTCACATTGTCCAAGGACACACGCCACACCATGTACATCAGCACCACCAGACTCCTCAATAGCACAGCGATCCAATATCAGCGTTGATAAATGGGAAAGCCGCCGGCTGAGCGCTCGATGCGATTTAATTGGATTTCTCTCCCAGGCCTTTGGAAAGCTCAGCTCCCATTGAGCGTCGCTACAAATTGGTGATCTCCGGCAACTCTCCCCTGGACCCCCTGGGGCTTCAGGCAATGTCAGTGCGGCGCAGGCAGCATAGGAACTGGAAACCGCCTCTCGCGGCCAAAGATTCTCTTCCGGAAAAGGCAAGTTGAGTGCCGAAGAAGTGTTTGACTGGAATTGCAGATCACTCAAAGAATGCTGGCATTGACTGTGAATCTCAAAACTCCACTCAGCATGGTCAACACCGCAACTTTGCCGTGGAACACCGATCAAATCCAGAGCTGCTACTTACAACTTACGGCAACACAGTGGTACAAGCAAACATCAATACGTCCGGGCATAGGCAATTGATCATGAAGCTTTGTCTCAAATGCACAGCGAGTGAAGTGAAGTGGAATGAAATGATGTAGCGGACTGAAGTGGAATCGATCATGTTGACCCCGTATTAATAAACCCTCCCCTATTAAACCGGTCCGGGTGACCCCCCCCCAATACGAAACAATTCATAACTCAGAAAATGCTTGCCATGTTCTTTTGAATGGTGTCCTGAAAAGGTGCTTTGGCTCAAATGGGCTCATGCTTTCTTTTGATACCTTTCTCTTCATGCTGCTGCCTTGCTTCGGGCTCTCATCTCCACCTCCTACTCTCATCTTGAAGCTTGGTGGATGCTGTTGGGCCTGCCCAAACCACAAACAAAGAAGGGTTCTGAGATGGTTGATTTCTTATTAGATCCTTTACTGAAAAAATCAAGTTTAAGGATTCAAAGGGTACCCCACATTGGCCCCTTACACCCCCAATTAATAACCCCCCCCAATTAGTGCGGTCCATCGGCCCCACCCGCCAAAAAAAGACAACCAGGCCTTCTCAATGGAAACTCAATTCCAGATCTCAAAAGGAAGTCCCAGCGATACTAAATCAAATGGAAACTCAATTCCAGATCTCAAAAAGGATGCCCCAGCAATACTAAATCAAATGGAAACTCAATTCCAGATCTCAAAAAGGATGCCCCAGCATTACAAAATCAAATGGAAACTCAAATCCAGATCTTAAAAAAAAGCTCCAGCAATACTAAATCAAATGGAAACTCAATTCCAGATCTCAAAAGGAAGCTCCAGCAATACCAAATCAACTGGAAACTCAATTCCAGATCTCAAAAGGAAGCTCCAGCAATACTAAATCAAATGGAAACTCAGCTCCAGCAATACTAAATCAAATGGAAACTCAGCTCCAGCAATACTAAATCAAATGGAAACTCAATTCCAGATTTTTTAGAGGGGGAGCCAAAAACCCTTCAAAATCTTACCTTCTGACCTTCAAGGGGGGGGCGGGTTCAGACAAATACGGGGTCAACATTAAGCGATGCTTCTGTGCTTCTGCGTCTGGGTGTGCGTGTGAATGTGCGTGTCCTCGTGCGTGTGCACCTGGGCGTGCGCGTGTGCGTAGGCGTGTGCGTGGGCGTGGGCGTGGGCGTGCACGTAGGCGTGTGCGTGGGCGTGGGCGTGGGAGCGGGCGTGGGCGTGGGTGCACGCATGCACGTGTGCATGTTCGCGTGGGCGTGCGCGTGCGCGAGCGTGTGCGTGCGCGTGCGCGTCTGCATGCGTGCGCGTGCGCTTGCGAGTGCGCCTGGGCGTGGGCTGCTGCGTGCGCACGCCCACGCGTGCGTGCGGGGTTTGTGTTTGTGTGTTTGTGTGCTTGTGTGTTTGTGTGTTTGTGTGTTTGTGTGTTTGTGTGCGTGTGTGCTTGTGCCTCTGTGTTTCTGTGTTTCTGTGTTTCTGTGTTTCTGTGTTTCCGTGTTTCCATGTTTCTGCGTTTCTGTGTTTGTGTGTTTGTGTGTTCGTGTTTCGGTGTTTCGGTGTTTCCGTGTTTCCGTGTTTCTGTGTTTCTGTGTTTTTGTTTTTCTGTGTTTCTGTGTTATGTGTTTCTGTGTGTCTGTGTTGTTCTGTGTTTCTGTGTTTTTGTGTTTCTGTGTTTCTGTGTTGTTCTGTGCTTCTGTGTTTCTATGTTTCTGTGTTGTTACATTTGTGTGTGTGTGTGTGCTTGTCTTTGTGTTTTGTGTTTTGTGTTTGTATATGTGCTTGTCTTTGTGCTTGCTTTGTGTTTTGTTTTGTGTGTGTTGTGTGTGTGTGTTTTGTGTGTGTGTGTGTGTCTGTGTGTTGTGCTGTTGTGTTTTCGTGTGTTGTTGTCTCTCTTTTTTTGTGTTGTTGTTTTGTGTGTGTGTGTTGTGTGTGTGTGTGTGTGTGTTTTGTGTTGTTGTGTTTTTGTGTGTTTGTGTGTTCGTGTGTGTTTGCATGTTTGTCTTTGTGTTTTGTGTTTTGTGTTTGTGCTTGTGTTTGTCATTTGTGTTTTGTGTTTTGTGTTTTGTTTGTGTTTGTCTTTGTGCTTGTGCTTGTGTTTGTGTGTGTGTGTGCGGTCTGCCTACCTGCCTGCCTGCCTGTCTGTCTGTCCGTCTGTCTCTGTCTCCGTCTGTCTGTCTCTGTCTGCGTGTGCAGCTGCGTATCTGTCTCCGTCTCTGTCTCTGTCTCTGTCTCTGTCTCTGTCTCTGTCTCTGTCTCTGCGCCTGTGTCTGTGTCTCTGTCTGTGTGTCTGTCTTTCCGTCTCTCTGCCTGTCTGTGACAATGGCGTGGCTGCTTTGTAAATCAATACACTTTGCGGCGCTGCATGTCCCAGCCTTCACACCCCAGACACCACCGTAGCATAGGCCGTCGATGACGTTCTGGCCGGCAGGCAGTAATAGGAGTCAGTTGAGCTAGGTTTTCCAAAACCGCATGCCAAGTGCCAAGTCACGGAATTGGCTGCCGGGCGCAAAAGCAGCTGAAGCTTGTCAACAGCTGTCGATGCGATCTGAAGCAATGGCAACTTGGAGCACGCCTGGAAGGAGGTGCCCATGAAACCACACGTCACGCCGTTTCCAATGGCATCGATTTGGGTCAGGAAGTGCAGATCCTCGGCGTCGCTGCGATGGGTCTCATTGCTGGCAAGCAAGCAATCTGCCGGTACGAAACTCTGCAGCTCACCAACCCTTGCAACTTGAGTTCTGCGCAAAGCATATCGAATCGCATTACATCCTGAGGAAATGCTAGCATCCACACAGCGCCAAACAAAAACACATTCTCAGCCAAATAGCCAGTCTCCCAAACAAACCCATCATGCGCTCAAGCCTGAGATGAGAGCTACAAGCCGACCTTTGCGTGAATGTCTCTTCAATGCCGCATTTCCTCCAACGTTGGGTTTGATTGACAGGACTGCGAATTCCCTCGCTCGCATCGCGACTGCAATGCGAATGGAAACTCCAGACCCAGGCGATCTTACTCGAGCCCTTTGCCCCAGAGACAGGACAAACCGGAAAGGAGCCGTTTCGCCGGTCTCACTGGTCCCGGTGGAACCCCCCGTGGCGGACGTGCCCAGGGCGCCAACAAAGCCTTGAGGTCCACCTGGATCTTCGTGAGCACGGAGCCCGTGGCCGAGTCCACCCGCGCAAAGACGTTGGCCAGCCGCACGTGGTAATCCTCGGATCGCTTGGAGCACCGCGGACCATTGAAGTCCGATTGGCATTGGGTGACTCCTGAGACAAAAAAGAATGACATGTTCCGGAAGCTGTGACTGGGACAGTGCACCTAGACACGCCAAGTCTACAAAGGGACTGATCAGCCCAGGAGCCTGGATCAGCGTCACAAACTGGGCGAGGGAGCCTTGGATTCCAGCGCAACATCCCAAGACAGCCAGGGGTCGCGGAAATGAAAAATGTCCCGCAGCGCACTGTATGCAGCTACAATAAACTTGTGCGGGTGCAAAGCATTGCCTCTGCATGTTTGCTTTGTTTCTGCATTTTAGAGAACCCCCTCATCCTAGTCGTTGGATTCAGTGCTGTGGATCTCAGGAACTTTCCAGGAAGCATGGCTTGACCGTGCATCGTCCCCCAAGTAACTGTCAGGTGGGAGGCCTACAAAGAAACTGCGAGGAAGACACGTAGGCAAATACGCACAAGTCCAATGCTGGTGTGACATGCACGACTGGAGACTAATTCCCTGCTTCCAAAGCCATGCCACTGCTACCCACAAATGAGCGGTGGCTTGTATGCCCTTCAAGATTGAACCGAGGCATGGCAAGGCCTACAAAACTGCTTCCGCGGGCTTCCCCACGCTTGTTCCGCAGGCTCTGCCGGGGGAAAAATGCATCGGGGCAAACCTGGAATGTGCCACGGCAGGTGGCACAAGTCCGGCCAGTGCAGCTCTGGGGCAGTCATATGTAACTGACGTGAAGGTGCCATCGGCGTTCATGCAGTCGTCCGACCAAGTGCTCCCAGTTTGGGCCATGGCATATACCTGGGGCCAACATGTGTAGTCCATGCAAGGATTTCACTGGGCAAAGTCTAGCCATGCCTTGCGCATGACCACTTTGAGCAACCCACCGTACCATCCTGCCACAGTCCACTAAAAACGAACAAGACCTTTGATGTCCCTGAAGGGTATTCTAGCCTCACAAAGGCCAAACCCACCTCCTCTGTCCCTTGAAATGCATGGCACATCGCAGGGCAATCCGGCGGGCTCGAAGCGACGGCACTTGAAGATGTTGCCCGTCTGCATCTCCTCAGCTCAAGGTTGACAACCGGCTTACACTCACAATAAGCCGTCTCCAGCTCCACTTTCTGTCAGCTTGCTTGACCCTGACCTGAGGGAGTATCCAAATCACAGTTCCGAAAATCCCAGAGAAGAAAAAAGGCTTCAGTCTTGACTTGCACCCTGCCACTGAGCCCCTGCGCGCCTGCTTCAGATTCATGAAGTTTCCTGCCGCCACCTCGGCATGGCAGGGGCAACCGAAAGCCTTGGAACTCTTTTAGAGGAGACAGGGAGGATCAACAGAATCAACCCTGCATTGAGGGCCTGGCGCAGGCGGCATGTTCTTGCGCACCAATTTGTGCTGCAGTCTGAGGGGGATCAGGCACAAGTGCCACGCAGAGGGAAGGTACGGACATGCTATTGAGTTTATTCATAGCGGCAACCACATCGCTGGCAAATTGTGTGCCCTTTGACCCCCAGGGTGCCTTGCAGGCAAAGTCCTTTGCACAGCTGGGTGGACTGTAATCGTACGAGCTGGAAGTCATTCCACCTCGCACGCACAAGCTGGAAGTAGCATGCCACTGCGAAGTGCATCGCTCAGAGCCAGAGCCCCTTGAAAGGAGGGCCTTCGAGGGTTCTCACTGGGCTAGCTCAGCAACCCATAATAAGTTGCAGTTCAACAATCACGGAAGCAAAATGGAATCCGAAAAGCCAATAGCAGTGGGGGCACGAATCTTGGCAATTTCGTTGGCTGCAAAAACTTGGCATTTCTTCTGGTAGTCTTTTCTTCCAGACATCAGAGTCTTCATACAGCGTGTGGATGCAGTCTGGCTACTGTTGAGTGCGTTCACCAAGGAAGTGATGCCCTTCCTTAGCCGGTGGCAGACCAGAAGCGATGCAGCTTGCTCCCGTCTGATCAAGAACAAGAAAGCGTACTTCAGGAGGGCAAAATGTCATACCGGTTACTTGGTTTCTGCAAAGTAAGTCGTGCGGGTCACCCGCGGATCGAATGTCCAGCTCAGATTGTGTGGCAGGCGTGTGATGGTCAACATAGGTGTCCTTTTGGTAACATATGGCACTAGTACATGACTAGAAACCAGTGCCATCTAGTGTCAACCCAACTGACCAAAAAGGCCATCTATGATGGTCAATTGTCACCCTTGTTTTCCTTTAGAATATGCTCATGGCCTTGGAGTGCACTACTTCGACGGCGCGAATGACTCAGCAACAACTTGCAGGATGATTCTGAGAAGGCCCAAGAGGCGCAACGTTTGCCCTGGCAGTGTATCAATGCGGCCAGCTGGCGCACCCCTGCATGCTCAATGCAAGCCTTTGCTCTGCTGCCTTGCGTCCACATGCACCCGCTTCAAGGGTCCCTTATACCCGCCGCAGTGGCAGTTGTCCAAAGATGTCCACGCACAGCATGCTGGCACGGCTTGCAATTGCTAGGCTTGCGGTTGCTGGGATTGCTGGGCTTGCCGGAAAATTCCTGCCATGCTAGCGCCTGGAAAGCAGCGGCTTGCCGCTCGCCAAGAATGAAGACAGATCTGCCCTGATTTTGTTGACTCCGTTTGAAAACCGGTGCAGATTTTGGTCAGAACGGGCCCTGCCATCCCAGGCTCTTCGTGGTGCCCTCTTCTGGGAGGCTGTAGCCGGTGGGCACCGTGCTGTCGCCACAAGAGCTTGAGGAGGTGATGTACTCCTGCGTGGTGCTGCTGGCCAGCATAGCCTGGCCATGAACCCGTCCCGTTGCTCAAGGCTCAACGGCTGTCAGAGGGTTGGGTTTGTCTTTTTTTGAGGGTACCCCCTTGTTGGCTTGCTTGCTTGCTTGCTTTTGCTGGTTTGTTGAATTGTTTGCAAATTGGCTTGTTTGCGTGCGGGCATGCTGGCTTGCTAAGTTGTTTGATGGCTTGTTTGGGTATGTCTTTTTGCCTCTTTCTGTTTGTCCTTTCTTTCTTGCATTTATTTATGTTCTTTCCTTTCTCTCATTTATTTATTTATTTCTTTCCTTATTTATTTCTTTCTTTCTTTTCTTTCTTTCTTTCTTTCGTTCTTTCTTTCTTTATTGTCTTTCTATATTTATTTATTTATTTATTTATTTATTTATTTATTTATTTCTTTCTTTCTTTCCTCTTTCTTTCTTTGTTTCTTTCTTTCTTTCGTTCTTTCTTTCTTTCTTTCTTTCTTTCTTTCCTCTTTCTTTCTTTCTTTCTTTCTTTCTTTCTTTCTTTCTTTCTTTCTTTCTTTCTTTCTTTTATATTTCTTTATTTCTTTCTTTCTTTCTTTCTTTCTTTCTTTCTTTTTTATTTCTTTATTTCTTTCTTTCTTTCTTTCTTTCTTTCTTTCTTTCTTTCTTTATTTCTTTCTTTCTTTCTTTCTTTCTTTCTTTCTTTATTTCTATCTTTCTTTCTTTCGTTATTTCTTTCTTTATTTCTTTCTTTCTTGGTTTTCTTTCTTTTCTTTCTTTCTTTCATTATTTGTTTCTTAATTTACTTCTTTCTCTCTTTTCCTTTTTCTTTTTTTGTTCTTGACTTTCTTGCATTCATATGTTCCTTCTTTGTCTGCTTGCTTGCTTGCTTGCTTGCTTGCTTGCTTGCTTGCTTGCTTGCTTGCTTTCTTGCTTTCTTACGTTCTTGCTTGCGCGCTTGCTTGCTTGCTTGTGTTCGGCTGTGTGTTTGTTTGTGATTGTTTGTGATTGTTTGGTTGGTTGGTTCGTTTGTTTGTTGTGTGTATGTCTTTGTTTGTGTCTTTTGTAGCTTTGTGTTGTGTTGTGTTGCGCGGTGTGGTGTGTGCGTGTTGTGTGGTGTGTGTGTGTGTGGAGTGGTGTGTGTGTGTGTGTGGTGTGTTGTGTGTGTGGTGTGTTTTTGTATTGGCTTTCGCATGCTGCTTCTGTGCGTGTTTCTTTGTGTGTTTGATAGTTGCTTTGTTTCTTGTTTAGCACTCAACAGTATGCAACGCCGCAGTCTGAACCTCACGGCACTCAGAAGCAGCAATGCTCAAGCGCGCTGGGAAACTCTACAGCTGCAAGTCCGAAGCAACCGTCAAAGCCAAAGCCCGGCAGCAGCCTAACAACAGAAGCAAAAAGCAAAGAGAAAGCAATTCGCCAGCAAAGCAGGCCGACGCGTCTCAAGAGCGAGCGAAGAAAATCCCCTGCAAGAAGAAGGAAAAGCACGACACACGACTTGCCAAGTGCACAGCGCTGCTTTTCCCTCCCTTGGCGTGGCCGCACTTGGCATCGCAAGGACGTTCTGAGACCGTTGCCGCTGCTTGCAAGTCTTGCGGCCTGGTAGTCCGAGTCTGAATCCCAGCCATAAGAAGCCAAAGGAAACCTCAGAACGTCGGAGGGCCAGTGAGTGTGTCTAAGGACTCCTGTGTTTGTTCCATGTTTCGGAAAAATCCTGCTCCTGCTCGAGGAAGAGCTTGACGGATACAAATCTCTTATCTTTCCGCTGGAAACGGAAAAGTGACATCATTGGGAGAGGAGCAACAAGCACATCTACCACAGGTGCATGGGCGCGGACTACGCACAGTCATTCTGCAGGGCATGGCGACAGTGGCACACGATTAGGCCAAGCAGCATCATGGTGTCCAAAGGAACATCTTGCCTCGGCTGAGATCCACGGCAAGAGTGGCTAGTCTACCAGAAGAAACAAATCCAGGTCCTTCGCCTCTCCGTGCATGCTGACCGCAATGCTCGCAAATCAAGACGGCAGACTCTTACTCAAGATCACAAAGTCAGAGCTCACTGCTAGTAGCGAGTAAGACCGAGCCGTAACATGTCTACCAGTATGCCTGGCACAAGCTAAACATCCACAGCACGTCCAAGCGGCAGCATTTGCAAGAGCTGGGTCACCTCCGACGATCCGCTAATGCTGGCACCGCCAGTGTCTATGGAAGATGAAATCTGATTGAACTGTGTAGCGATCTGCTCCTCAGGGGCCATGCGGTACCAAGCTGAAGGCAAACCCTCCCCAACTCGTTCGGACCTATGCCGATTCACTGCCTGCGGTTCGGGTCTTTCTGTCAAGCCGCGCCTTGGTTTGGGTGACTAGCTTGTCATACATGGTAACTTGCTGGCCATTCTCTTCCACGGTGATCAGGTCCAGCAGCCTGACATCTGTTCTATCAAGTAGCATGACCATTCGATGTGCCTTGTAGCATTTGGAAGACGTGCTACACCGCCCTAGTCCAAGAATTCTAGAGGCATCATCAACAAGCTTTTGCTCCCACAGTTGTTTGTCATACTGTTAGTTTCATCACAGGAAGGTATTGATCAGTGGCCTGAGACATTCAAAAAAGCTCTAGCTCGAGTAGCAATGCTACACTAGCAAAACATTCCATCGATAAGGAGGTCGGCACCTTCGTGAATGCATGGAGAAAAGAAACTGTTCCGACGAGGCAAGAGAAGGCATTTTACTGATTGGATTGCCCACTATGTTTTTGTCTCCTGCCGGCATACAACTGTTTGCATTTGTCCGAAGGGGTTGGCCGTGCAAAGAACTCTGAATTACTTCTCGTAGCCATCTTGCTAAGTTCCACGTCACCCCCATGCAGCACATGTGTCTGGTTTTCTGCGGTGGGCCACATTCTGCCTGCCTTCAGCATTCTCTTACAATGTTGCACGTGTAGGGGAAAGGTCGCTGCATGATTTGTGAAGGGTTTCAAGATGACCCTTCCCTGGTGATCTCCTTTTCCAGCCCAGGCAGCCTTTGCTTGTGGGGTCAAGGTCCTTTTCGGGGCATCTGCGAAAAGGGTTGCGAGCGTGGAACGGGTCGAGGTTTGAAGGAGGGGGCCAGACAGTCAGGCAAACGGTTGATTGTACAAAGGCCCAGACTCACGTGTCAGAATCTGCCCTGTCAGACCAATCCAAGTGACCTGGTTCTTTGTTGACAGGCATGCTTCGCTGGCACGTGACTCCAAATCCAAAAGGATTCAAACATGCGGTCAGGTTGTAGGTAAAAAGGGAAGCCTATGGTTCGGGAGGCAGCTCATCAACTTGACGATGATGCTACAGCAAACCTTCGACCTAGCCATTGGCCAGCCACCAAAGCAAATCCCACCAATCAGTCAACAAGGTCCCGCCACAAATGATGCAGGGGCGTGCATGGTGAGCAGACCAACCCATCCGCCAGGCACCGCCAACTCACAGCACCAAGCACCAAGCACCAACCAAGCCAGTCAAGACCAATCCACATCAAACCAAGCCAGAGCAATGAACGCACTAGAACCACATCAAACAACCACCTCAAAATGCAAGGGGCCGCGGGTTGCTGGAGGAGTTGCGCAGGCATTGGTCGATCATGGAGCCCAGCATATCGCCTTGCGCGGGATTGCAAAACTGCCATGTACGGATACAGCCTCTCAAGCTTCTGCACAGCCAAATCCATCAAGTTAAGCACTCTGTGACTCTGTGACCTCCCTCAGATGTCCTCACCAAGCTCACCTAAACCGGACCATGAGAAGAGCCAAAGAGGATGAACGTGAAGACGTAAAGCAGGGCAAGCCTTTGGCCCTTGCCTTCAGCGCCCGAGATATTCAGTTCCATAGCACCAGCAATGTCTTTCAGCATGCTGCCTGGGCGGTCAACACCGACGCGCAAAAAAAGATGCTCCTGCTCACAAGGACGAATTGGCACATGTGCACAAGTCTCACAACCAGCGCTCGATGTTTTGATCACAGAAGCAACCATAAGTAGTAAACAAAGCTGTTGGTCTGTAAAAGGAAGACGTATAATGCTCCTCAGCGCATCTTCCTCAGAATCAACGCGAGGGTGTACTTGGGTGTTTGTGTGCGTGAACTGTTTGACAGTGCAGTAATGAGTTCATACAGGTACACCCTCAGGTTTCAGACCAGTGCCCACAGGGAGGAAAATAACGCAAAGCCGTGCATTTCTAGCTGTAGCCCTGTGGCTACCAGCGGCCTGCGAGCCTGCAATCAGGTCTGGAAAGCGGGCAAAAGCAACCTGGCGGGCTTCAAGAAGGGAAGCAGCAATCGGCTGCCGGTAAGGAATGTGTCTCGGAGTCCTCGCTGTCTTTCTTTCGTTCAATCTGCTTGCTAGCTGGGGTGTGTTGCTACCAAGCTAGCGCTGCAGAAACACACTGTACAGCTCTACGAGGACTCGCGATCGACGCACGCGCTGCCTTCACAACGCCAGACCTGACCAGGGTCAGGTCACTAAGCAAAATTCGGTTGAATCCAACCACCTGCACAAAGCTGCAAGGAGCTCTTGGCAGGGCGCCCTGCAAGGAGACACTACGGAGACACTGTACGGGATAACTAATGTCACGCGCGGATTAATAGAGCAATGTTTTGGAAGAGGTTTCACAAGACCCCCCTCACCCCCGAACACTCAACATATTGGAAACTGACAGGCTTTAAGCAGCGTTTCCAACAACAGGACCTCACGGGAAGCCCAAAATTAAGGAGGGCTGCCCTTGGACTACAGCTGTGAGTCTGGCGCCGCGGGCCACACGCTGGCTCAACCAACCCCAGCTTCTAGTTCCTGGGCCTGGCCACAACCCCTTGCGCGGCCTTTCAGCTGCGCTCAAGAAAGCCCCTTCTTTCCAGGCCATGTCATGTAGTCACGCGTAACCCACCATACATCTTGGAAACCACACGCGTTTGGCAAGGAAGATTCACTCGAATAGGCCCTTTGCCGTTGTCTTGCTTTTGCTATACGGGGAAGGGCGCAGTATGGGCAACAACTCGGCAGCTGTCCGCGCACAACCGGCCAAGTTGAACCCTGCCCCCGCGCGGGCCCCTGCTGCGCCACTGACCCACCCCAACAGCATGGGCCCCTGCTGCACGACCAACCCGGCCCTAGCCCCTGCCTGCGTTACGCGGTGGATTTTACCCTAGACCGAAACATACTCCCGCAGTCTAGCACGGGCAGCTGTTTTTGTGAGCCCGCCGCTGCGCAACGCAGGCAGCATTACTCAAGCCGCACACAAGCTCTCTGCTGCAACACGAGCAGTGTCAACGCCTGTCCCCGAACCAACACAGCACGCTTGCTTGCAGCCATTCCGAAGCTTGGAAGGGAGCCATACCCTCGAGAGTGATGCAGACTGGGATAAAACTTTGTAAGCGTAGATACCGGTGGCTGACTCTCCCAGGGTGTGGAGGTCCGACCCTAAAGGGTTTGTCCACTACAAAGCAGCCAACAGAAGGAATGGGTGGGCAAAAGGAAGTGCAAACGAACAAGTGTTCAACTGTCAGTCCAGGACCAAATTACAAGCGAGTGCTGGGCAAAGCGCTGACTAAGAACACTCAAGGCAAACCTTACAAAATGGGGGGTCGCCCAGATCTAGAGAGCGGACTGGTGCGTAATCAAGCTTTAGCACACGTACCCAAGCATGTGATTCTACATGTCCTGCATGTGGCAGTATCAACGCTTCCTTGCAGAAACCTAGCTCAGACATGCCTTGGAAGGCAAGCACGGAAAGAGTCTTCGCGTTGGCTTGAAAGAACTAAACTTTCTAGCTGGAAAAGCGAAGGAACGCTACAAGACATGCCCAATGGCATTCCATATTCTCATATTGGAGCTCAGCCGAGCTGTTGGTCAACTTCTGCCTTGACACATGAACTATCAATCGCATGACCTCTTTCAGCTTTTTGTTTCTCTGCAATCTCCAGCTTCATTCCAAAAGGCAGAAAATGACCCTTGGTGGTGATGTCAGGAAGACACTTCCAGAAAACACGTCTGCTGCATCATCAGCTGAAGAGCACCGCGCATGCTGTGAATTTTCACGTCGGCCTCCAAAAGCTCGATGACCTGGCACGTCTCGTTGGAACGGCCGACAAAACTTCGACACGCTGTTGGTTTCTGGGGGTTCAGCCTGCATGTTCCTCGCCACCCTCCGCCGCGTGGGAAGCTCACGGTTCCCTTATTTGGCCCATCACCCCCTAGGCCGCAGAGTAAACTCAAGCAAACCGCGCATTCGTCGTCAACCAATTATTGCCTTCGGGGGTGGGCTGGCGCTGCGGAGGAATGCTTTGAATATTGGGGTGTCCCAGGCAAAGTTTGCTTGTTGTTGTTTACTGGTTCTGCAAGCAACCGCGATCACATGCGCAAAGCAAGTATTGGGCTAATACAAGTTTTCGAAGCATTGGCTCTGTCCGTCGTACGGCATTGAGCCATACTTTTACTGCAGATTTGTTCACATGTGCCAACTGCTCGATATGAGCAATTAATGAGTGCCAGCAGGGGTCAGCTTTCCTGCGACAAATAAGTCACGTGCCCCATGTCAGCCCCTACCGTATATGAGAGTAACTATTGGCCGCTGCTCAAGGAATAGTGTAGCCTTTGCACAGTCCACAGCCATCACATCCCAGTCGCTCAACTTGATGTGCCACATCTTGTTGCAAGCGCGGGAAAACAGCGCTTTTCCAGCAACATTATGTTGTCTGTGGGGTCAGTGAGAAGCTCGTTGCTCCCACAATGCCCTTTGGGCACCTTCGCCTCGCTGAATTGAAATGCGTGTCTTGCGATGCATTGATAGTGAGGCGGCCATCTACCCAACCGGTGCACTTGAACTTGCGGCTCTGCTTTAATGTCTTGTACTGCAACTGCGTTGATGTGTATAGACTTGTTTTGAAAGCTCAAAGGTGAGGGAACTAGTCAGACTTGCAAAACCATGTTTGGAGCGAAAACCATGCCAGCGATAGCGGGTTGGGGCATGTTGCCGTTGATCACCAATATCCTCGTTCAAGGCTTGTTAGCCATCGCTATCAACACCAAGTAAGCAGTCGCAAGGATGGAAATTATGGCGAGGGCCTGCACAGCTGGAATCAAGTGTTGCGATTGAGTAATTTACATACCTTCAGGCTAGCCAACATTCCTTGCCATTGTCCGTCGTCTTGGACTCTGATCAGCCAGAATACCTCCATGCGTGCCCCAGCATGACACTGCTCTGAGGGGTTTCCCCCCCCCCAACTATTATGGATGATAAATCAGGTGCCATCAGTAGTATGTCAAGGTGTCTCTCAACACCTTTCAAGCAAGAAACCGCCTCAGTTCCGCAACTTTCCATCTGGACCCCGCCTTCCTGTGTGAGCCGAACCGGTCTCGCGACTTGGCCAAGTCCAGCGCTGTGCGGTTCTTGGAAGTGCGTCTGGACGGTTCCGCACCCGCCGCCAGCAGCCCACGAAGAGCCTGCCAGCTGCAAGAAACTGCCCCGGCGTTCTCAAAAAACGGAACTCTCTAGCACCCAGCGTGTTGACAAGCCATAGAGCTGCCGGAGCTCACCTCAATTGCCAGCCAGTCCATCGAAAACGCGCCTGCTTGCCTCTTCCCCGAAACACAAACAAAAACAAGAAGAACTTGCCTTCTAGAATTGGAAACCTGGCATAGCCTCTCTTTTTCAGCAAGTTGTTTGTCCAAAACCGGAAAGAAGCCTTTCCGGGACTACATTGCAGCCCTGGCTTCAAAGCTTCCAAGCATCCAAGCCTAAAACCCCGAGTTGCACAAGAGCCAAATCGCCTACCATCAGCGGTGACTTTGAACTTTTGAGTTCCAAGCGCCGCGACCTCCTCAGGCGAGAGACTGCCAAACATCAAAGCACAACAAGAGAAAAGAAAAACTTTGCGACCGATTCCCAAACAGCGGCACATTCATGGACAAATGAAGGAGTGGATTAGAGATGATCCTGGCAAAGTCCTGCTGTCGAGCGCATCCCGTAGGGTCAGCATCGGCTCCAACGTTGGCACGGGCTCTAGTTAAGTTGGACAGCATATTTCGAGCCTTGCCCAATGGCGGTTTCAACAGAATAAGCTGGCGGTGCTGAATTGTTTGGCACCTTTAGCTGAATGGTACAGGGCGTGCATTGCATTCAGGCCTACTGGCAGGATCAATTTCTCTGGTGCTTGTTTGAGCGGTAGGGGTTGCCAGGAGTCTAAGTTTTGCATTGGCCTACAAGTTGATTTCTGCTGAGTCTTAACAAATGGGCAAATGCTGCACAACAAGGACTTTGTCACGACTCCCGCTTTCGGAACTCCTGACGCTGAAACCAGCCGACTTTGGATGAATGGCTCTAGGCGCCTGGTAGTCACCGTTTTGAGCAGCCACATGGATTGGACACTTGACTTCCTCGAAGGGATTCCGCCAGCAGGACATGGGAGGCTTGTCCACGTGCTGGAAGCCCTGCTTTTTCATGAACTTCGCCAGGTGCCTCTGGCGCTGCGCCTTCTGACGGCCGCGCCTTGCAGGGGGGCAAGGCGACAAGTGTTGGGCCCGTACAGGGGGTGAATAGGCCTGGAAAGATCTGCCCACCAGTGTCACGGCTCACTGCGTCCCTGGATTGGGGAAGCTCGGGATGTGCCTGGTCGGCACTCCATGCTGCTGCCAGAAATGGTTGCGTGAAACATGTGATTTGCGTGCGGGTCAAGCATCTGGAAAACACAGAGCAAAACAGACACAAAGCCCTCTCGACCTTCAGCATCGAGTTGCACGCCGTAGCCATTTATGTTACAACGAAAACTTCCGCAGCCCTTTCTGTCCTTGAAACATCTCTGCGCGCTGACCCTTGATGTATTGAGGCAGCTGGCGTTGTCAAAACATGTGGCGCAAAACTCTGACCTCGGAAAGATATCCATATAGATGATGTCCACGTAAATGAGTCATCAATCGAAGTGAAAAACATTTGAAGGTGTTGAAGTCACGCGTGGGTCTGTCGGTCCACGATATCGCCTTCACTCGTGACGTTTTCTAAGGGGGTAACGTCATCTTTTGTCGCTGGAAGTCAGTGCCAGTTGTTCCAGGATTCAGACTTAAGGTGTGTCTTGTTGACTGACCATCCACCGTAGTCAGTCCAATCCTGCTCGCTACGCTGAGGAGCATTGCGCCAATGCTGCCATTGGTTTGCCTTGCCCTGCTGTTGTGGACACTCCGGCCTGTTAGGCCATGAGTGGCGCGCGCCAATCAAAATCACAAGAAGATATCGTTGTTGACGCGATTAACACACTCTGTGGACGAGCGACGAGCCAGAATGCACAGCTGCGAGCGTTGATTTCTTTCCCATTCCTGCTCGTCCATATTCTTGCGCGTCGCAATGAAACAGTGCGTCGCGAGGCAGTCCGGAAAGGCCCGGTCGCGACCTGACCCTGTCGGTCGCTGTGGCCTCTCTGCGCTGATCAAGTCGCGCGTGGCAAATTGCGGTGATCTGGTTGGTGAACGACGTCTCACCTCATTGAGCAGCGCGTTGATCAGGCCAACGTCGGGATGATAAAGTTCCTGCCGCTTCGTACGTTCGCTGCTTCGCTGGCGTCCTGCGCGCGTGCCGCACTGGTGTTTGAGAAGCCGTCATCTCTTCTCTCACTGTCAATCCGGCAACTGTCTGATGGGCGTGGAAGACGCGGCGCGCTTCCTGCAGCTTGCTGCGGCTGCGGACTGCGTGATTGTAGACATGAGGTCGCTCCATGATTTGAATCTCCAAAGCCGTTGTTTCTCCCGGTGGTTGAAGAGACTGAGGAGTTGACAAAGATGCTTGCTTGCAGCTCCCTTTCGGAAGTCCTCGGCGCTTCCGCCTGGTCGGCCTGCGCTCATGTCCATGAAGACTTCTCCATCTGGTGACATCTTCGTTTGTCTGGAACACCTGCTCCACTATCGCAATTGTGGCCTGTATCTGGGGCTAATAACCACGCAAGGATATGCCCACTATTGACACTGTTCACTGCGTCCCCGGATCGAACCGATAGGGAAGTATCGATGGATGTTGAGGAAGCTCAGGATGTGTCCTGGTTAAAGGATGTCCGGTACTCTATCCCGTAAGCACGAGCAATGGCTCTTTTGTGCACGCTGTTTAGCATGTACTCAAGAAGGGCTTCGGGCAAAAAATGGTTGCGTGACACACGTGATTGTGTGAAGGATCCGCAAAACACAGAAAGCCCCCCCCCCGGCCCCCTTTCCCCCCAGCGCTTCTGCCACTTTTGCTCAATCTCGCACAAACAGGTGCTGCAGGTAGAGGTGCTGGCAGTCATATCAGCTTTGACATTTTCCACATGGCTTGGGAGAATGAGGGAAGTCATGGTTGGCTACCGTCCAGGGCCAAAACGATCTGCGACTGTCAATCCATATCAAACGGCTCCATGACTCGAGCAGCAGGCGTAGCCGTCAAGCCTTTGACAGCGGGCCAAATTTGGGTCCCTTCGGACACTAAACTGAGAGCCCGAGCTGGTGATGTCCTCCATGATCAAGCACATGGAGGAGAGTGGCACTGCCACTACCAGCAATATTCCACCCAACAAAAATCCCAGCATGATGTAGTAGCAGCCTTGGCGCGGAAAGAAGACTTTCAAGATCTGGTGCCTCAACCACGCGGAGCAAAAATCTGTCAGTGAATGACCCTTTGCTCTTGCTACAAGTCACATCCTGTTTAGCAGTGCTTTTGAGCCGTCGAATACTTCAATAGTCGCACTCCTGCAACATAGAGACCAAGTCAACGCGAATGAAGCAAAGAATGACTGGTCCCAACCCTAATAGCATTTCCTGCGTAGGAAAAAGCTTCCAAACCGCTTTGGATCTGATCTTTCCCGCTGCTCCCCCTCCCACGTCCCCACTTTCGTGCCAGAAGGCCGCAGCACCAAGTGCAGCAGGCGAGGCGGTGCACGCACTTGTTGTGGCGCTTTCCATCATCATCTGCGCGCCAATTGGACCCCTCTTTGCTCCGTGCAACAACTGCCTAACAGATGCTTCACCCATATCTAGGTCAACGCCAGAGTTTTGAGCTTGACGTCTCATGCTTGCAACACAGCATGACTGGAACATCCCAACTTCCTCAACCTGCACCTTCCCTGCACAGGCAGGTTTCAAGTCAAGGCACTTTCTGGATTTGACGACTTCTCGCAGCAGATCCACATGACAGTTGTCCACATTGCAAAGAGTGCGAGCACACCAGCCAGTCCTGACATGCTTTCGAAGCCGCGCACTCGCACGTCAATACTCCTGGAGTTTTTGTTTGGGAGACCAAAATCAGGAAGGGTGGTGAAAGCAGGCCAGAAGGAGACCAACCTGGAAGGTGCTCCCCTCAAGTAACCAGCAGAAAGAAGAAATGCTGCAAAAGGAGCCCTCGTCCAGCTTCAAGCTTGCTTTGCTGCAGCTTAGGGGCCTATCATGGCGACGCTGGCAATCGTCCTGTCGAGGACGAGGGGCACAACGTGAGTCGGAAAATGGGGCTGTCAGCTGGTGCCCCCTCCCCAGCCGCACCCGTTGCTGTTCAGGCCCTCCGACAGCTGCTCCATGAGGGTGTCGCTGACGAAGGGGGTGAAGGAGGACCTCGCAATGAGGCGAAGGGATCGGAGAATCCCAGGCGCGCGCACAGCTGCAGCTGGGCGACTTGATAGTCTGCTTCAGTTCCACCAGTGGCGCTGTGGCCTCGCTGCGGTATGTCACATCAACTCGCACTGGAGGCCCACCCACTCTTACAACTACCAGCCGAGCCACACTAGTCATGGAGTTCTGGATGCTTGTAAGAGAGCCTCGGGCAAGTCAAGCAAACAAACCCTTGGACAAATTCCATCACAGCGGGGAATTCTACAAAGGAATGCAGAGTCTCTATTTCAAGGCAGCCTCTCAATTTCAGGCACTTTTCAAGCTTGTTCGTGCGTTGTGCTGGGCCTTCTGGCTTGTTGTCCATCTGAGTACCAAACATCACTTCACCCTTGGTAGAGCTCACCCCCATCTTCCTCTCTGAGAAGCTCCCTGACAGCTGCTGATCCACCTCCTCTCGCGCAGCACTTAGCGCAGCAGCGGTGCCGCTTGAAAGGCTGACGCTGACCTCAAAAGCGCAAGAAAACCGCTCATGCATAGTTTAACAAAGGAAAGGATACAGATACACGAAAACCAGTGCTTGTGCCGGCAGAAGCTGCAGCGAGTTGGAGACGGAATTGAACTTTATGCACATGGCTCTAGATTCGAAGCCAGGCAAAGGCCCCACAGACTGCACCCTGCCTGGGAGAGCGTGGTTGCCAGAGGGCCACACGCCAGACCTTGGTGAGTCTAGACGCAATGGTGGATTGATTCATGCCCACAATGGCTGTGCTGCCTGCTGTGCTTCGGCTGCTCCCTTCTTGAGGATAACTATGACCTGGTTCCCTCACGGTCGAAAAGTGCAAGCAGCTAGACAGCTCTTGGAAAGTTTCTGGGGCCGCCACATTCGTGGAGTGTGCCCGTCGGCAAAGTATTCCTCGAGTCCGCCAGCATTGCAGCAAGCATGTCCAGAGTGGCCTCGCAAGCCAACCAAATCTGCGCACCAAGATGCCAATCAACAAAGTGAATACTCATCTTAACTTTGCAGAATGCTCCACTTAAGTAAGATCTTGAAGGGTGTTTGATGGCAAATGCAAGCCAAGCGAACATTTTAGTCTGCTGATCCGCCATAGCTTGACCCGAACAGTGGCTATCTTCCAAATCGGGTGTATGCAAGCCAGGCAGCTGTTGCGACCTTCACTGCATCCGTGATGTCCTTGGTTCGAATGCCCAAGATTCATTGTGTCTCCCTTGCTTTGGTCTGCAATGCTTTAGGAGCCTTGCTGGCACCAAATAAGTATGTAGGCCTGAAAAACTGAAGACGAGCGCAAGAGCCGGAGTTCAAAAAACAGAAAACGTGCGCGCCCTGGCAAGTCCCGTTTTGACTGGGATTGATGGCTTAGGACAGGTGGCTTGGGGCAGAGAGCCAAGGCAAGCTGCTTTGGTATCCAGCAGCAAGGCGCGCAGGTCTGTGATGAATGTAGAGCTCTCCTGGAGGCTACCTGGCAATCGCTCGATCCCGCAGCCCGCATTGGCAACCTTTCAACTCACCAGCTCAAGAGTTCTGGCAAGTCTGCCCCCTGATTTGGAAGTGCACACTTAGGCTCCTGTCAGTCAGCAAGTTGGTTAGTTGGGGTTGACCAGTCCATTCTGCAAATGGAGTTCATTGGGTTCAGCCGCACGCGGGCCGAAGCCAATCGCCATCAATTCTTAGCTGAATGACCCTTTGATGCAAGCCAGCGATACTCAAACGCAACCCAATTGGCAGCAAGCACCTTCCAGCTCGTTGAAGATGTTGAGCACGGGAATCAGACCCAGGAAGTGGGGGTCTGCCTGACCCTGCAAGCTAGCATTGACCTGGGCCCACGGCAGAATAGCAATATAATCCTCACACCGAACATTCACATGTCAGGTATGGACAATGCTCCCTGCTACACATGTGCAAATGTTGAGTGGACTCCCAATGGCCAGACACCGTACACCGATGAAACCATTGAGAGTTGCTCATGTGAGACAACTTTGCTCTGAACCTGTTGCCAGAGACAATTCATCCAGAAACGTCGCTCCTAAAGGGTAGATTGGGGCAGTTGGGAAGTTGCATCTGATGCATAGAAACATGCGAAACATATTCATGTCAAAAGCCATGATTGAGAAAGTCTGGTGTTGGGACCTGCAAAAAACACGTGAGGTGTGGAAAAATGATCTTTGCAATGGCGATTGCACAACAGGTTGGGAAGCACCCAGCCACAACTGCAAACAAACACAACCCTCCGGCACAAGACTGAGGTGTTGCGATAACTGCAGCTACAGGAATGCCAACAACGGGGGTTTCAACGGCCTCTCATCTTGTGCTTTGCCCAAGGCTCCATGGATGCAGCAGCGCAGTTGGTGACATCGAAGCCCTCTACGGCCTGAGGTGTGCACCACTGTAGGTCAGGAGCAAAACATAAACGTGAACAGGACAGCAAAGAACAGATCTAGATTTAAATGGATCTGTGGAGTGCTCTGGCCAAGATTTGGCAAACCCACACCTTAAGTTGCATACAGATTCAAGGGCACTGGCTTGCAAAACTATCTACTTTGACATGGACAATCAAGAATTATGAGGTTAGCGACGCCCACGAGAAGACGGCTCTTCTTATAGCCAGCCTCATGTGAGTATCTGACTATGTGGCCAACTCAGAAAGCAAAAACCGATGATCCTCCTTCTAATGTTGTCAACACACCAAGAAGCACAGGACAAAGCCCACCTTGTCATAGCCGCGGGTGGAAAGGCTGCTGACGATGACAAGAGCCATAACCATGCCGCCAATCCTCAGGTAGCAAACAGCCTTGCCATCACGCAACCCCACCTCCTCCCCCCTTTCCGCTGCACAATAGAAAGTTCGAATCCCGCGGGGTCCGGGGACTGGCACTCCGTTCACCGCCGAAACCAAAACACACACACACACACCAGCACAAACAACCAAGCGCATAATCAATTAAGCAGGCACTAACACAAGCAGCGACCGAAATATCGGCGGCCAGAGCCATTTGTTTCATTTATATAACGGGTTGCCAAGGAAGCATAGCGAGTGGTCATGTGGGACTGTGGCAAACGCTTCTCAGCATTCCGCGGGCAACCACACTTGTTGGCTGTGACTTGAGTATGAGCCATTGAGTGTGCAGACAAGGCTCAACAACAAGACGACCAATTTCAGACCAAAGGCGATCTTCCGTTGCCTGGACTGTGGCATCCCGACTCATCTTAGTTGCCGGTAAGTCTAATCCAGTCCGGTATTCCCAGTCACACCTTGAATTTCCTTCTTTGCTTTGAGGTTCGATGAGTCCCAGCTGCAAAGCGATCTGGTTGCCCGCATATCTGAAATGAGAACTTGCCGCAAGATCTTTCAAGCCCATACTTTGCACATCTTTGCACTATCCCCTACCCTGTACCTGCCCGACTGCAGATTGTTTGGCGGGACTGCATGCGTTTGCGCGATGCGCGAAACATTTCCAGGATGCATCTGCCAACAATCCCTTGGAAGCGTCCTGCCCAGCTGTGCCAAGCAGGCTCCGGCTCAGCTTCCTAGCTAACAAACAAGAACTGTTACGTAAAGAATCATATCAAGAATCAGATTTCTACGCCTAATCAGTCCGTCTCAGCCACCAGCATCTTCAACGCCAAACGCCTAACGCTGCCGCCGTGACCTCCACGCCTCTGGAAACAGCGGCAGCACTTGCAGCAGGGCAGCGCTGTCCAGCAGCAGATCAGCATATAGGTGGCTAAAGTAACGAAAAACATCACCTCAGTGCAGAACACTTGTGTGCCCGATCGGAACCTATGCCAACTAAAAAGGTGGGACTCCTCTTTGGCAACCACCTTGCTCCATGCCTTGCCTGGCGTGAATGTCAAGTGTTTTGTGGCATTTGTAATGTGAGCATGGCTTCCCACAAAAAATTGCCAGTCGCCTGCCTTGTTCCGCAAGGTCATCAAGACTAGCCACTCCTTTGCTGCCAGGTTGCTAAGGGCACTGCCGTTCTGGCCACTGCTGGCGGCAACTTGCTCACCAACAAGTCCGTCATCTCGCTTTGGCTCTTGGACTCCTGTGAAAGGAACACATGCCTTTGCAGGCATCTAAGAAAGACGAGTCGCCACTTTGCTTACAAAGCTGCTTGCCGTTCATTGCCCAGCCATCAAGAACGGTTTGACATTGAAAATTCACAAAATGGTGAAGAGGCGGAGAAAGTATTGAGGCGATGCTCACCATGGAGTTCAGCCTAGAAGGATTAAGCAGCACCCTGCTGTGCAGTGGCCATAAAGCCGGGACGAAGCACCAAGCGTTCAACGTGCTGCTGTCCCACAATGGATGAAGCATCGCAAAGCTCAGGCCTGTTCCCATGCAAAAAATAAAGCTCCGTGGCTGTCCCGCATGATTTCGAGCAGGACGTTGCCAGCAGCGGCCTCCTCCAACTGCGCCCGCACGTCTGCACGGTCCTGGCAGGATCAGCTCGTCCACCAGTGGTCGGTGTGCCCCAGTATCCTAAAAAATGGACGAGTCTACCTGCTGTGATTGGGGAAGCTGCTTCATTGCTGCTCTGGTCGTGCTGTGCTAGTCACAAAGGCATGCATGTCCCTGTAGTGACATTCACTGACATTTTGCAACAAAGAGGTGGTGGGGCAGAAGCGCTCGCCTTGCAAACCTCAATTTGACCAGTCCGCCAGGCTAACCGTCCGCCAAAGCCTGCTCCCCAAAACCGTCAGCCACTCACCGCAACCTGCCCCCAGGCACCTCTATCGTCATGCTGCTGCCTTTGAGGCACGCCTCGCAGAATTGAGCGCCAGTGGGTGTGTCTTTTTAGGAGAGCCCAAAAATGGGTGTGCTCCTTTTGGTTTCCCTTTAAAAACAAACCAAAAGAAGATACCCACAAAAAACGACACACCCAAATATCGCTTGCATCTGAGCATTGTCACCTCTTGTCATCACCTCTTCCAAAGCTGGCAGGAACAGTTTTGTGGGGGAGCCAGCCAACTATCACACCTCACTGCAAATCGTTGTAAGCTTTCCAGTTGTCTTCCATGCGATTCCTGCATGATTTGCCTGCCTGGGCGGCTTTCGTCTGGGCATCTGTGGCCAGGGTGAGATCATCAGCTGTCACGTACACATTGACCTGGAGAAGGATAGATCATCTAGAAAACGGTTTGGATTCGATTGTGGACCCATCCCTTAAACCTCTGAATTCCCGCATAAGTGGCAACTCACTAGGTGCCAGCCAAGCGGCCTGCTGACCTGCAAACGACCGCAAATGGTGTTTGTGCCATCCCACCCGGTTCACTCGTTTCCCCCTCTGATGTCTGCCAGCCCCTGACTGATGGATTTGGTAGCGGCGCTGATTTGGGCATGGGGAGGTCAGTCAAGGGACCTGTTGGGAAGAAGAGCTCTGATGGGAGCAATCTGGAGTTGCATCCTGATTCTGGCAACCACTCCCAGGAATATAAAAAAAAAACTGGGGAAAAGGAAAATGCCCGTTCTTCCCCCTTGGTGAGGTAAGAAATAGCACATCACCATATGCTATGCCGCTGAATCGTTGCAAAGAAGATGAATTCGTCTGTGTGCCCCATGGCATTTTCAAGATGCCTTCATCCAGTCTCAGCAAGCTAAAAGGCAAATCCGCGGATTTCGGCTCAAGCACCCTGCCTCCACACAATGTGCAGCATGCAACAGTCAGGACCTTTGCCTGGCGCAATATGCCTCTGCAATGCTAGACTCTGTGTGTGTGTGTGTGTGTGTGCGTGTGTGTCTGCTCGGGCCAGGGTTCGATGCCAGCACAAAAAAAGAGTTCTGAGCAACAGTGTATTGGCTCCATGACAACAATGGAAGCAGAACCGAGACCCTGCAGGGCCCGTGCTAGGTGACTCCTTTCCAACATTCTCTGGTGATTCACCAAGGGACAAACTGGTCAAATCTAAATAGCTCTCTTGCATTGCCAATATTGGGCGAGTGGCCACAGCCCAAAAAGTCAAAACTTATTTTTGCAGCCGCGGGACCAGCCGCGACGCACGCCTGAGTCAGAGGCATGCAGAAGAACTGCTGACTGCTGAGCAAGAATGTCGTTGATGGGAAGAAACCAGGCCAAAGTGTGATGCCGTGATGCCAGTCCTGTGAGTGTGTTCGGTTCCTCTCATGACAAAAGGCTGGAATGGCGAAATGTACATCTAGTGGTGGTTGTCTTGACAACAACGAAGCATCATATCAGCGTTGACACATGTTGACACAAAATGTGGCTCCCGCACACTCTGTCTCTGAGTCCAATGCCTGCGCTACCAGAAGAATACAAAACACGATCACAGAACTTGGAAAGCTGATGAACAAAAACCAGTGCACTCTCCCCAAGGCTGCCCAGCGTGTGTGTGTGTGTGTGTGTGTGTGTGTTTTGTTTGTTTAATGTGTATGTGGGCAGTTTGTGAGTGTTTGCGAGTGTTTTCATTTCACAAGCCGGCTACTTCCAGGGATTCTGAGATGTTGTCAGCTTGGTCACAAATGGTACCATGATAGCTGGTTCTCTTCAAGACCCATGATTGGTGAAAGTGTAATAAGACTGGAAAAGGAAGAGAAGCTAAGATCTATACCTCAATGTGCGAATCAGGCGTCCCAAGTACTACCTCCCGCCGACACACTGGAATCAGGCCAGAAAATTGGACACCGTCAATCACATAAGGCCAAGCTGCAGCATGGCAACGCCGGCCCACAGAAAGGCTGGGAGCCGCAACACGAGTCCGGTGACAGCGCTCTGGAACTTCTGCTTTACTCGCGTAGACACAAATGGCCATGTGGTGACCAAGGGTGGCCCAGTTTCTATCAGCCTCTGGAAAGAAGATTTCGCATATGCGGCAAGGATCGGAATTATTTTTGCATGGCGCAGCAGCACGTCCTTGCCAGTTGCCTGTTCCTTGCACTATGTCTACTTGGACGCTAGCTGTGGCCGTGCTGAGGTTTGGCTTTGGGCGTCCGAAGGCCAAGGTACGTACACATGACATCAAACATTGGCATGCACCGCCTGTCTCTGCCAACATGCCTAGTTTGATCAGTTGTTGCATTTCCCTCTGCTGGCTCATTCAGCTGGTCTTTCCATCGGTCAGTCATCCTGGCACCACACACAGCAAGCTCCGAGCAAGTGGGCACTCCTTTGCTGGATCGACATGTTGGCAAGTCATTTTTCTGACATTGTTGCCGGGGAAGCACCGGTACCTGTATTATCTGCGTTCAACTCTGAAAAGCCCATCTTCCGCTCCACACATCCACTTCCACAGAACTCGGTTTCGCCTCCTGCTCCGCCTCGAGGATCCGTTTTGCCTCTGTTTCTGCAGCCTTCCTCTGCTCCGCCGGCACTTGCGCGTGCTGGCGCGAAACAAACGTAATTCAAATGCAAGGCTCCAATCCCAGCAAAGCATCAAGCTACTCAGGTAACCCCCAAAATGGTGCTTTTCCTCGTGGCTTCCCTTTGAAGCCCTCAAAATGGCCCCACGTAATTAAAAGAAGAAAAAAAGACTGTTGTATTTCCACCCTATGAAAGGCACCTCGTGCTTTGATGCTGGGCAAATCCAAGAAATCTCCAACTCGAAGTCTTTGTCCTTCTCGTCATGCACCTCCCAAGGCTGCTTCCAGCAAAACTGCTGCCAACGCGAGTCAAGTTTCAAAATGAGACTGGCCCAATCTCACCTTGTGGATGATCTTCGCAACCTCGGCGACCCAACACTTGGCCATGGGTCAAAAGCCCGTGCTCCCAGTGAACATCCCAATCCCCACTAAAATAGACTAAAATGGGTGGTGCACCTACCCCAACATGGTACACCCATTTTGCTGGGGCTGCCGGCATGGACCAGCGCCTGCTCGCAAGTCAGATCAGGGTTGTTCCTGGCCGTCGACATCTCAGACCCGCAATGCCACCAACCGAGTGTTGAGACCTCCCACGGCACAACATCCAAACACTGTCACCCTCACACCTCCGCTCCCAGGCCAAAGTTATCATGCAAGCAGCCAGGAGGACGCCAAAACCTTCTCAATCTCAGTCTTTGCTGCCTGCTTGCCTGGCACGCTTCCAAAACGTCAGTTGGGTGAAGGCAACTGGCTACACCTCCCTCGAAAGCCTGCCAGGACCTACAAACCTGAAACCCGCGCCCCAAAACCCAAGGCGCACCCTTACCCTCTGCAGTAGCCGTGTACCTAGCGGCGCGAAGCGTGGCTTCCTCAAACTCTCCAACCGAGTCTCTTCACCCTGGGTTTTGCACGTAATGGCTCATTTTGTGGTCCTCAAGATGACTTGCAAGCACATGGGCACTTGTGGACCATGCCATTGGGATCAATGGTGAAGAGGCTAGGCTTCTTGGTGTCCTTCGGCTTACGTCAACTCGCAAAGTCGCCGATCAACGGCATTCAAGAAATCTGCCGACGCTCGTCGAGGGTGTGCAGATAATGAAGGCGTGCTCGAGTTGGAATGTGTCTTTCTCCAGAATCCTTATCAAAGTTGTCTCGGAAAGTGGACCAACAAGTGCTACCACAACATGATTTCCGCGTCATCCACTGGGGAAGGTGGAGCAAAATTGTTGGCAATGGCTGTCAAATGAAGTAACAGTTTGAGAGGCTGGAGGTGGTGAGGATGGGGCGGGGGTTGGCGATGCTGTTCTTTAGTGTGTTTTTTGCTTGTGTCTGTTTGTGCGCGTATCTCACCTTGTCAGCTTTTGCGCTCGATCTACGTGCCTGTTGCCTTGATTTGTCGAAAACGCACACCAGGACTCAAGTCTGTGGCAACTGGTACCCTTGCAAAAGGATGTTCTGTCTCGTCTGACCCTCTCTCTCTGTCTTGCAAGAGCAGCTGGTGTCGGGTGATTCCCTGAATACTGTCCTCAGCAAGCCAAACTTTAGCACAAACCTTGTTGTGGGCAATAAGATGGCTTGGCCAGTGTCCTGATCCACGCATCCAAGAAGCACCGAGCAGCCGAAAGGACGCACAGACCAGTACCTCCCACGGCAAACTTTTCCAATCTGTCGATTTGCAGGTCAAACGCTTCTACACAAGCGGGGAGGCCCATAGGAAGTCAGAAAGAAGGCCTACGCAAGAAGTCGCTTGATCGATGCAATACTCAGAAGACAGTACAGAGCGACAATATGTGCTCCGCGACGCATCGGGTGGTCTGGGGAAGTGCTATGCTTTGGGTCGAAATCAAATTCTGAGGATGTTGAGAGGCTGCTGCACAAATATCAAAAATGGATCGTTGTGGACCTTCCGCATTCTCAGTCACATCCCCCACCCCTTGTTAGCAACATTGCAAATGCATCCGAATGTTGTAGCATCCGTGGACATCAGAGCCACCGTCAACCTCATTGGCGCGGAGCTTGAAACGAAAAGGCACTTCAGTCCCAAATCGCTTGGGCATTCGGAAAGCGTCTCGTGTTCGGTGCGCACAGGGTGTAGGCATGCATGAAGAGTCCCAAGCCTCAGCGCTTCTGCAGAAATACGGCCCAGCTCTTGACTGCTGACGCTTGCCACCGGGGTAGTGACAGCCTACTTTTGATTCGAACATATACGGACTCTCCTATGGACAGCACCTTCACCCTGTCCATGCCGCAACTCTTGGCGCGCATGGCAGCTCGGTGTGCTTTGTCCGAGGCAGCCATCAATGACAGCTGGCGGCATGAGGGCCAAGCGCTCAGCCAGGAGCTCAGGGGGGATCTCCTCGCAGTACCTGTCAGGCCAACAGAGCCAAATGAGCGGTATGACTCACAAGATGGGTGCGGATGCATATGAAGAATCATGAATCTAGGAGTGTGCGTCTGCCATTTGGCTGCCGCTGGAGAAAGGAGAACACATCTGTGCTGATGAAGACTCCACTTCATGTTATATGGCCTGATTGAATCAGCCTCCCACAACTCTTGGACCGGGCTCTGAGGCAAGGGTTCCACAGCCACCATGCCCCATCTGCACTTCTCGCTGCGGCTCACGAGCTCATGTACTGCCTTGGATCTCCGGTTGGAACCAGTCTCAAGTCCCCAGCGAAGCCGAGCATATCGCTTCTGCTAGTACACATTATGGGTTCCAGCCACAAGTAAATCAAAAGCGTTCGCTTTCGCAAGGGGTGCTTGAAGAAGCTGAAACTGGTCTGTGATGCCTGTCCCTTGAGATGCCATCGTGTCTGTTCTTGCATTCAGCCACGTAGCGTAGATTCTGAACGCGCACGGCCTGGGCACGTGTCATGGAAATGCACGGGACTGAGAAGTGGACAGCCTCGTGCCCTCACACTCAAAAACCAGACTGCTCTGCTCCGCCCTCTGAATACAACAGCTCGTGCGGCCTTCAGTCGCACACTCTAAGCGAGAGGGCCCAGGGGAGTTGGAGGGGTTTCCCAAAAATGCAAAAATGGATGGATTTTGGTCTTGGATGGCTTTAAGAAGCCAAAGGCAACCACCTAAAGTTCCCAAATTTGATCAATGCCCATTGAATCGCAATGCCGAAGTCCACTGGGACGCCCTGCTGACTATCTGCCTAGCATCGGCCACCATGCCAGCGATGGACATACCCGCACGCCGGTGGACCTCCAAACTCCAACTCAACTGATCAGCTCTCTATGCCTTCCTGGGGAATGGCCACTTGCTATTTCAGTCCCATGCCACTGGGCAATCATCAGCCAGAGCTTGCCAACCAAAACCACTCAACAGTCATCAAAATCATAGAGCGGGAGCCAAGGGACTCTTGGACATGTTCCTGCCCCTGATAGTCAAGCTATAAGCGCCCCCTTGGCACAAAACTCATTCGCCAGGCAAGCTTCCGGCGGAGCTGGCCCTTTCAATCCCAAATCATCTCAGCTTTTGGCCGGGAATATTCGCTTCGCAGTGCCAGGGACCAGCATCTTGGACAGCCTGAATTCCAAGCTTGACAGAAATGCCAGCAGCAATTGTAGTAAGCGTGCGTGCGATTTCGTTAAAATTGCGTTGCTCCACTCTCAGAGCTGAATTGAAAATGCGAGCCAAGATGCAGAAACTTCTCGGCTGCAAAGACTACGCCATCCTGCAGGTTTCAAGCCACCATCTCCCACGAGGCTGTTCTTGACTTCCAAAAACATGCTGGCACCGAAAAGGGACAAGAATGGGTACATTCCTTTTCCTGAATCAGTACTTCCTGCAGCTGTCGCGCCTTGCAGCAAATCGCCAGAGTCGTGCCGCTATTTTCCACGGCCTTGCCTGCATACTCCACCTGACCGAGTTGCACTGCTCGTTTCCCTCCCCCCCCCCCTTTTGGCTTCACGAAGATGTCTCTGCAGCTTGCCTGGAAGACCCTGCCATCTGGCGAGAAGGTTGTCACCGAGAGGTCGTAACCTGCTCCGGTGCCCGCCTCAGTGGAAAAAAGCCCAGCATCGGTTTAGCCCACAATCGCTGGCGGTCATGCGATTGTGGTCACGGATGTCTGGACCATGGTGCATATATATATATATGTATACATATATATACATATATATATATATATATGTGCGTCTGTTTGTGAGTGTGTGTCTGCGTCTGTGTCTGCGCCTGTGTGTCTGTCTTGCAGGCAACTCTGATCATGCCATGCGTGGCCTGATCCTGCCTGAAAGCCTGCAAGCTTGAGCTGGGGACTTCTGCAACACGGGCCAAAGACGGAGCGGTTTAAAAGGAATGCTATGGAAAGGAACATCTGTGCCCTGGTTTTATTCATCGACCGCTGAGAGCTTGGCCATTGCTCACAAAGGCACTGCGAAAAGAGGCACTCTACTCGACTGTTTCGAGCCGCAGGCAAAGCAACGACTGGCAGATCATGCTCGCAGGCAACTGATCAAAAGTTTGGGGTGCATTTCACAAGCAAAGCCCCTAAACCCTAAGAAGGTGGGTTGGTTCTGCAAGTCTCTCAAGTCACTCCATTTATTTCTGCGGCACAGCAATTTGCGTCCGCTGGTTTTGGTGTAGTCTAGTGGGTGAAGTGATGTGCCGTGGGTTGATTCAAGCTGCGAGTGCGAGCGGGAAGTGGCAGTGGTGTTCAACATGGAGTGTTGGCTAATCCCAATCCCTAATCCGTTGGCGAAAGTTGAATTTAGTGGTTGACAGTTAAACTAAAAGCACAGGCGGTCTTTTTTCGACAGTGGCGAGCATGGCATGGGATTTCAGGCTTCCTTCGCAGCGGCGGCCTTGGCCTTCTTGATCCTGTCGCCCTGGTAGTGTGCCGCAGTTCTGGCCTTCTTCAGCTTCTTGTAGGCAGATTCGCTCTTCTCGGCCTCCGTAATGGCGCGCGCCTTGATCCGCTTCGTTGGCTTGGCCACGGGGATGATCTCCTTCAGGCTGTTCTGAGCCACGTTCTGCAGCTCCGAGCGCGGGGTGTCTCCCTTGCGCACGGCCTTCGTGCCGGACTTCTTGGGGAACACCATCAGCTTGGACATGTACAGCTTTAGGCGCTCCACATTGGCCTGCAAGCTTTCTGTGCATCTGTTGCGGCGTCGGTGGTCCACCGCAATGCCAATGGTCTTAGCCATCTTCCGCGGGATCTTCGCCTCCTTCAGCTCGTCCAGCGTGAAGCCCTTGCCAAGACGGAGCTTCATGTTGTAGCGCTGGGTTGGCGGGTGCACCACGGGCCGCAGATACCCAGCCGCTGGCCGGGGAAAGACCTTGGCGGCCTTGGCCTTGCGCGCATTTGCGCGGCGCTTCTTTCGGCCGGCCTGATTCAGCCAGGTCCGCATAAAGACCCGGTTCTTGCGTCCAGCTTGGCAGCCATTGACCTTTCGGAAGTGCACATTCGGGATGACATTGTTGCCTCCGTGCCCCATGGCACTGGCCTCTCCAAGGCAGCAAAGCCCTACTCGCCGCAACCGTTTGATCCTAGAAACAGCAACGATCAATGTGGCAAAGCGTACAGTCATGTTTCACATAGTCCTGAGAAAAGGACTGCCACGTGTTGGCTTCATCAACTCAAAACCAAGCCTGGTCACTTATCATGCAGTAAGAATTCTGAGTCTGGGCAGAAACCGGGGCGCAGCATGTACGCAATTGACACATGAAAGCACAACTTGTGCAGGGCACGAGTCCAAAATGTCAACAAAAGGCACACTGCATATGTTTACCCATTTTTCCCGAACTATGTGGTATCCCACATAAAGGAAAAACACTTCTCAAAACTGTCACAATTTGGTATGTATCTGAATAGACTTCTCAATCCCAGTCCGTGTGGTCAAATGACACAATCCGCCATGCCATCACAGCCGCACAAATCCAAAGGCAACAACAACGCCTGACAAATGTATCGCACCCAGTTACTCAAAACTGCAACGCGAACAACAGTTTAACTGCGCTCGATTGCGAGAATGCAAATTGAGTGCTCATAACGCAACCATGATTGTTCTGGACAGTTTGTAGCAGCTCGAGAATTGTTGACCAAACCATCACGGGAGCGTCCCAACTGATTGTGAATCGGTGCACAAAAATTCCAAAGGCTGATACGTAATCACCCAAAAGAGTCCTTGATTCCTGCCAGCGCGGCTTGCTACCAAAAAACAATGTGCTTGATGCGCCCCGATGCGCCCCACACCACTTGGAGCAACTGTCGAGCGGACGGTTGCGCCTTTTCTCAATGGCAAAAAGAGCCTCCAACGCGGTGAATGCACATGTACCGGCGCCAAGGCCTAGAGGCAGGCCCCCGGGCAGCAAAAACAAGCCCAAGCCGCCCGAGCTGCCCCTGCCGAAGAGAAAAAAAATGATCGCCGACCTGCCCACGGAGCCGGCGTATGAAGCGGACTCCCCCTTCCGTCCCAAGAGGGTGAGATTTCCCACAAAGCCCAAGACGGCGCCCAAGGCTGCACCCAAGGCAGCGCCCGCGGCCAAGGCAGCACCCAAGGCACCGCCCAAGGCAGCACCCAAGCACTGCCATGCTGTGGGTGTGACTGAAATCCCGAATCACTCTGACATGCCGCCTTCAAACCCACAGCACTTAGTGCACTTATTGTACTGCTTGGCGTGCCTAAAACGCGGACACTGCTCATGCGTGCGATACACCGTCCCAGCAGGGGTGATCCGGACCGATGATCCTCTTCCTAGCCTAGCCCTCTCGGGCCTTTCAGGCCTCACTTCGGCAGTCTGCATGCTGAGGCCGGAAGAGCGTGTTCTCGAGCACCCAGCCCGTGCCCCGGGCTGCTCCGCCCGCAATCCCCACGGCCAGGCCCGCCGTCGCCGCTGCTCGACTGCAGCCGTGGCAGCCAACGTCCCAGGGCGCAAGGGCTGCTGCTCCTTCGGCCAGGCTGCCCAGGTACCCGAAGGCGGTGCTGTCGATGAAGAAACTCCAAATCCATCGCCCTAGGCTCAAGGCTCCAATGCCAGCCAAAATGGCCAGCGCCATCCAAATCCAATCTCCTTTCTCCCATTGAGCTTGCGTGGCTCCGTTGGCTGTGACCAAATTGGCAGAAGCCACCACCAGAGCCATTCTGTAATCGTCCTTCAAGGTGCCCTAGGATCTTCTTGGCGCCCTTGTCACACAGCATCTTGCGCTCGATCTCGTGGAACTCGTCATCGCCAATCTTGCGATTAATGAACATGAGTACACGCAGCCTTGCCCTCGCAATCGACTTGGTGCCGATGTCACTGCTGTTGATGCTGGTTGGAATGGCCGTCACCTTCTCGATCCAGATGACGGGTCCTGCCAATCCCAACTCGTCTACACATGCCTCGGGCAGTTGCTATCCGTTCTGCACGCACAAGGCAAATGGTGTATGGTGTTGCGCGATCCTTCATTTCTTCCCCGCACCTTCTTCACCTCCACATCCTGCATTTTTCTCCTGTCCAGCATGGACTTCCCGCACTTGCTACTCTTGATGAGCAAGCCATAGAACTCCGTGCCCACCAAGTAGCTTGCCAGGTGTTCAGCACGCTTCCAAGCCGTCTTCGTTGGGGTCTTCTTGTAGATCACGAAGTTGCTCAGCCACAAGTTGGGTCATTTACCCTGATTTCCTGGTTGCCTTTAGCAGCCGGCTACGGACCTGTGCATTCAATTGCTTCACCCGCCATTTGATGGTTCGAAGCCGCAAAGAGGCCAGCCGGACAACTTGTCGTTCTTGCTGCGAAGCCCGCGCGCGGCTCCAGAGTTTTTTGCACCAACCAACATGATCCTCATCGATATAACAATGTGTGAAGCGGCTGTTCAAGCGAAGGGCACGGGCGTCCTCCAATAAGTGCCACATGGCCTTTGTTGGCCAACCAGGTCTTGAGTTGAAAACGGGGCCCTTTAACAGGGGTGAAACGGAGGTGAGCTTACAGCACATGTTTGCAGCTAGGGCTCGTGGAACTTTGGCTTCACTATCCATTGCAGTCGCTTGGTCCTGCAACGCCAAATTTATTGCATAACCGTTGCTGCGCTGCACAGTTTATGTTCTCCTGATTGCGATTTTTGTGAGGGCCAGGTGCTGCTCCAAGAATTGAATTCCAGCATCGTAAATAGCTTGCGCTTGATCTTGAGTCCTGGGAAGCGGCTTGTCACATAAGTCAACCCAACATTTTATGGGTTTCGAGTGTTCAAGGGTTTGGTTTTCCAAAAAACAATGCCATAGCGCAGATATCGGCCGCATCTTTCTTGCAGCCCAAACCAGCGGCTGATCCCTGTCCTTGGCTCAACCAGCTGGAGACAAACATAAGCCTAGCCCCCCCCTCCAACAAGCGCGCCGTGACTAATCCTGGGGCGGCAAAAAACCATTGTTTAACTTGCTTCGCCGTCTAGTTGGGTCAACGTTCATTTCTGAAACGGGGGATGAACGTTCGGGCTCTTGGTTTGATTGGCGCCCGACTTGAAGGGGCCTTGCAAGAAGCAACTCTAAACCAGCCCTAGCATCGTGGCTGCGGCTTGGTGCACAAGGCGCGGATCCTCAGTCCTGTGTGATGGGTGCGCCAAGAGGTACTGCCCGAAGACCCGGTTTGGCGGAGTTGTTCCCATCCAAGCATGCATTGAAATATCTTGGACCCACTCAGCGATCACTCGGGCGCAAAAAGCTTTCGTGCTCATGTATCCTCCATGCCGTTTCTTGAAAATCATCTTCACAGTGAATCGTGTTTGTGAACAGCGGACTCGGTGTTGCTTCTTCCAGAGAACAAAATCATTCCACGCTGCCGCAACTTGTTCTGGCAACAAGCCATCCCCGAAATACTTCAACTCAAGAAGGGTGGCCAAGGAGCTTCCATTTGATGTGAATAGCAGCCCAAGATTGCAGCAGTGCATGCTACAATACTTCAGCAAGCAGGGGTGAAAGCTGCTGAGAGAAAGCGCCAATGGGCATAAATGCCCTGCCACTTCCTCTATGAACTCAGCCGGGCTTGTTGCTGAGACCTTGCAAGCCTCCCAATCCAAATAACTTGGCTCATCACTGACACTTGCGTTGCAACGATAGCATATCATGTCAGCTCTGTACCACCTGCCACAGGAATTGCTCGCTATGAGTTTTTCGCAAACCAATGCGATTCTTTTGAACCAAGACAAAGGCCCGCTTGGCCCAAAAAATCGAGCGCCAGACACTTACAACAACAAAAGCCAACGGACACCCTGTAACTTGTGTTTGCTTGTCAACCTACGCGTTCTGAAAGAAGGAGGGATTATAGCAAACCCGTTTTTTTTTTAAAAAAAAAGCCCGCGTTGAACTGGCCACCCGCCTGGTGAGCCCCCACACAGTCTTGTGCCAGGCCCAATCACCTCTGATCTCCGTCAGGGCGAACCTCCTGGCGCAGGAGCTTGGAGAGAGCAAAAGGGAGAAAGAGGTTTTCGTGTTCTATGTGAAAGTCCTCGCAGGGCGCTTGAAAAGAGCCGCGTTGGTTTCCGGGTCGAAGTTCAGGAGTAAAAGGTTCAGGCTCCAAATAATTCCTCAAAGACCGTCAACAAATAGTTGCGACACAGCGCACGGGAACCTGAGTGCAGCTGGGGTTCTCTCCCACACGGGCTTCAGCGACTCGGGCCCTAGAAGGAAGCCGCGCCGCACTGTGGTAAGCAGGAACCGACTCATGCGAGCCGAAGCAGGTCTCCACAAAGGGAGGTCCATGTGGATCTGCAGCATTTTCAAATCGTTTGTGGAACCGTAGACAGCCTCGTCCCCATAGACCCCTATAGGGCAAAATTCAAAAACAGCATCGCCGTAGGCTGCAAAAAGCTGGGCAGAGTGCGGCTCGCCGACGTCCCCTGAGCGCATTCACCTTGTAAAAACAAAAAATGCGTTTGATAACCCTGAAAAGTTTGAGCTAAGGCTAACAAGTCTCGCATGTGGCTCCAGAACTTGCGGATGCAGCGCGTGTCCACCTCTATCCCCGCTTCAAGAAACAAGTGCTGCACCACCTTGTGAGGCAGAAGCACTGGCAGTTGCATTGTGGTAGCGCTAGTGCTCGAAGATGGGCCCAACGACCCGACAGGGATCTCGACAAAGATTGGTTCCTCAGGGTCTCAAAAAGAACGAAGAAGCGAAGGAGGGCGCTAGTAAGCCTCATTCAAAGGTTCGCATAGCCGCATCGATGGAAATCCGAGCGTGTTTCCTTGAAGCCAAGCTCTACATGTTGCTTTGCCGGCTATGTGCACATATCGCATGTTGGCCTTGGTTTTTAAGCCACTCCACACTTCTGAAGCTTGTAAACGGGAGTTTCACACCCAAAGAAAAAACCTGGGAGAAACCTGTAGAACACTTGCTGGCTTGCAAGACATGAGAAGTAAAACATGGCTGGCGGGTGGGTCTTTGGCGCAAAAGGCGAAGCGCGCTGACAGGACGAGTTGCGCAGCCTGCAAGCTCGGAACTTAGCAGATACGCCTCTGACCTAGTTTGTGCTCCAAAGACAGCAACCATCGCAGCTACGCTGCTGTTGGAATCAAAAGCCCCGCTGTTTTTGAAAAAGCTATGTTTTCGCGGGATCCGGAAGTTTGACATTTGGCACCCCTGTCCACCGGCACAGGGCAGTGGGCAAAGAACTCACGATAAAACCTCCACCCCTTGCGCTTGTACGTGCTCATTTCTCGAGCCCACGCACCACTTTCCAGGCCAGAGTCCTGCAGGCGGAAACTCGTCGCTGCGGGCCCTCAGACTAGCGGTCAACATGACATCCTCCAACTCGCCCTGTTTTCCCTGTAGCGACGGCGCAACCTTGAAAAAAATAATATATATATATATATATATGTGTGTATTCATGAACCGGCGCTGTCGCAGGAAAAGAAAAACGTTGACTTTCAAACCAGCGATTCAGGCCAAGGCTTTTTGAGAGGGGCCGCCCAAACATAACTGCGAAGATTTTCTTGAAGGTGACCCTTGGGGGAAAAGCCGCGGTCTTCTGTCAAAAACAGCAGCCTCGGGAATTTTCAGAACCCTGGAAACGTAGACACACTGCCACGTGCTGAAACATAAACACGTAGGAAACTGAGCTGGTTGGCACGATGGAACAAGCTGTAGGCAAGTCTGAGCTTACTTCACTCTGCTTGGGAACTGGCGTTGATGGACATCGGTGCATGTGTCTTCGTGCGGTTTCGAAGGCGCCCTCTTGGTAGGGTTCAACATTAACATTGGAAGGGAAACTTTCGCTGAGGCTGCAAATCCGGCTCCTGCGCAACTGCCCGTGCAGAGGCCACGGCTCCGCTGACACTCACGGTCTTGGGGCACGCACGAAGTCAAATTTGCAGCACTGCGAGCGCACCGTCTTAAGTTTCGGGCCCCGGAGCAAATCTTGTCAAGCTGGTCCTGAAAGAAGTTCTCCTTCTTTGCATCTTGTGCTGGGTCTGGCTCCAAGCCTGCGCACGCATTGAGTATGGTCATGACCAATTGCGCAGTCAGTCTCAAGAAGCGCTGCAGGCAGACATCAAGCCGGCGCACCGCCCTTTGTTCACGTGGCAGATCCAGAGGCAGGGCGGCTTCAAGCAATCCCCCAGGCTTCGGCGTCTTCCCCAAGTTTTGAGGTTTGTAGAAAAAGGAAAAACGACGAAGGGTTGCGAAGCCTGGATTTCCATATCGATCGCGACTCACCCCAACACGACATTGCGTTGGCGCGCCCCAGCCAAACAAAGATTGAGGCCAGCAGACAGAGAGCGCAGGCAGTGCTGCCCATTGAGCTACCACTAATCCCCACATAATAGGTGTAGCAAAGGCCACAAGCAAGTGACTAAAGTGTCCATTTTCAGACTCAATTGGGTTCGGCCTGTCGTCTCTGCAATCAGCCCTGGCAAAACTTTCTCAAGTCCTTGACAATTTTGTCGAAGAATTGGCACTTGGCCTGCAGTTCTGAGCTCAGAGTGGCCAGGCCATCAAGGTCCTGGGAAACAGGTTGGCAACATATGCTTCAATTCACCCACGAACAAGTCCGCGTCCTTGACGCCATCGTCCAACGCCTGGCGCAGGCGGCCACGGTGCTCCTCCAAGCCCTGCCGCGCCACATCCAGGTCCGCAACGATTGCAGCGCGAAGGGCGGTTTCGGGTTGCCTTGGAAGGCGCCCCAAAAGTATCACGAGACTTTTTTCAAATCGATATTGAGGCGATTTTGGAGCCCAACCAAGATACCACCCTGACATTTTTTCCTGAAACACAACTACGGTCGCAATAGCTCTTGCGCACAGACATCAAAATTTAGTTTTCTGCCCCCTTCCACAAAAAATGGCGCCGTCCAAAACCACGTGCCCGTTTTTTAATTGGCGTTTCAGAACGCTGGCCAGGAAGCTCGTGAAGCTTCTTCGTGTGGTCAGCGCAGGACTGGATTTTTGCGGAGGCTTGGTTCACCACCTTGCCACGCAAGATCAAAAACAAAAGTTGAGACTGGGTCCTTTTGTGCTGGCTTTTCTTGAAGGACTTTTTGTAAGGGTTTCCCAACACACGGACGAACATAGGGCTTTCTACAAGTGCTTGTGAAGGATGTTTTTTGCGGCGCGCAAAAAAGACACATCGAACATGGGATACCAAGGAAATCCAAGAAACACTTTGGGCGTACGACGCGTTGAACACAGGAGAGACCAAGGTCATTTAAACGGGACTGTTTTCTTTTTTGCCTGCTTCCCACCAAAAAACACTTTAGGCGTGCGTGTGGGCAGACTCCTGTTTGCTGTGAAGCGCGTTTGTTTCCTCGAAAAAGCAGTTTGAGTGTGTGAGTTCTTCTTGCTTTTTTGTGTCTCCTCCCAGCGCACAAATCACTTTGAACATAGGACACCAAGGATACACACATGGCGCGGGCTGGTTGCAAGCAACTTTGAAAACAGGGCGCCAAGAGGTGTTGCGCGGGGCCCTTGTTTTGCGCAATGCGCCTTCTTAGCAGCAGCAAGGCTTGCTTTCTCCTTCTTTTTGTGCTCCGCCTCCTCTGTGTTTTCCTCTTTTGCCTTCTTGTTCCCCTTGGCCTTGGCCCCCGCTCCACGTCCCTTCTTTTCCGGCTTTTGTTCTTTCTTCTTTTTCCCCGTGTCCTTCTTCTTGTCCTGAAGCTGCAGCCGGCAATCCCTGAAAACTTTAGACCTCGGAAGCCCTGTCCTTCTTTTTCGATTTGTCGCAGGCGGAGTCGGAAGACGAGGAGCTGTCTTGGCGGTCTACGGCAGTGAAGGTCTGCTCCTTGACCTGCTGGAGCGCAGGTGTTTGGGAATAGAAAAATCGCTTGTTGTGAGGGGGTTCATTGAAAACAAAAAGGCTCCCTTTAACAAGACAGACCCGCCTCTTCTTCCTCATTAATCTCGGCATCGTCATCCCACACCTTGTACTGCATGACTTTCTCCTAAGTTTAGAAGGGGGCTGCAGGTCGCATATTTCGTTGGAGGTGGCAGCATGCTTATTTGAAGCTTGGCCACTCCGTTCACAAGAACTCCTTCGCACTCGGGGTGCACACGGGTCTCCGTCATAGACAAATCTGGGTCAAGTTCTTTCCTCGTGATCATGGCCCCAGCGATATCCTGAGGCAGGCGGACCCCTGCCGCTTAAACTGGAATCAAACCATTTGGAACGGCAGGTCACGTTGAACGGGAAGCCCGCGCACGCCCAGGCCCGGGCCCAAGAGTTTGTTAAGATTCCCACGCGCAAGGGCGATCAAAATACTTACCGGCTTTGTTTGAAAGCTCAACTGCGCCAGGGTTGTTTTTTTTGGGAGCTCGTTGTAAAGCTTTGCTGGTTCATTGAAACGCCAAGCAGCCGGGCCCCATTTATCTTCCATTTCTTTGCGTAGGAGCCAGCGGCGGCATCCGCGACGTGTGAGTCGCTGCGTCTGCTTCAAGTTCATGTAAAAGCTGGATTGGCTCCACTCGCCGCCCGTGGAGAGCCAAGCCTCAAACATGGTTCCGGTCTTTTCAATGCCTTAGCCAGCGAAAAACAACCAGCCAAGGATGCCAACAGTAACCGCTGTCAAAGATGCGTTCGTGGTAAGGGGCTTTGCTTGCTTCTTCGTAAGCTCGCCTCACCTCTGGCGGCGTCTTCTGCGGGCCTACAGTTTGTTAGGCCGATTCAGGAACAGAAACAGCTAAAGTTAAGGCCAGGGCTACGCACAGCACGAAAAAAGCGCATGTAGCGCGCGTGCGCCGCACGCTTTTTCGTAGCCTTATCCGGCTGGTCGCCGTCCGCGCTGGCTGCGCCGGCGCCAGGCTCTTGCTGCGCACGCTCTGCGTCCTGCGGTGGAAACTGAGGTTGCTTGTCCACCTGCGCGGTCTGCGCTGCTGCTGGTTTGGCTGCAACTTGCAAAGTGGGGGTTTGCTGCTTTGGCGCCTGCTTTCCTGAGTGATCCTGCTGCTGCTGTAGCTCCTGCTGCTTTCCTGGGCTGGGGGTTGGTAGATCCTCTTGCTTTCCTTGGCTGGGGATCTGCTCTCCTGGGCGCTGCTCATCCTGCTGCTTTCTTCGCGCGGGGGTCTGCTGCTCTTGCGGTAGATCCTGCTTTCCTGGGCTGGGGACGCGCTGTTGCTTTGTTGGGCTAGGGGTCTGCTGCTGTTGTTGCCCCTCCTGCTGCAGCAAGGCTGGGCTGGGAGGCGTGCGCGCTTTTGAAGCATCCTGGGAGTCCATCATGTCCAACGTGTCAGGGCGGCGGTCCAGACCAGCCGAGGAAGGGGTTTGCGGCTCCGCGTCACTGCAGCTCAGTTGAGTGGCAGCAAGGGCACTTTCTTCAGCGACCGCCGTTTTTTGTTTTTTCCGCTTCACAACTTTGACGACTTTCACAACCCGTTTCTTTGCGCCTGCAAGACGCCGACCGTCAAACAGTTACTTAACTCGATTGGCATAGGGGCGCTTAGGGCAAGCTCGTGGCAACGGGTCCTTCCATATGGTTGCATGAAGGGTGGAATGATTTTCTTCTTTGAACCTTGTTCCCCTCACCCACGGTTACAAAACAGTGCCCCATGAACACGTACCTCTTCAGGGTTGCGAACTTGGAGCATCCCAGACAACAGAGGCACGCCCTCGTAGCGCGAGGCATACAGAAAAGCACGCAAAAAACAAGAGACAGGGCCAGTTTGGAATTCTGCGCCCAACAAAACCACGCCCAGGCAAGGGTCTGGCCTGCAGATGACGTAACCGATGTCGCGTCTTCCATCCTAAGCTGACAGATTCTACCGCGCTAGCAACGTGTCCAGCCTGCCTGCTGCGCCAGGTGAGCAAAAGCTGGATCCGGAGGGCGCAGGCGCTGACCGGGCTGGGAGTAAAGGCAAGCGCTTCCCCAATTCGGCACACAAATCTAGAGTTGTTTTGAGGCTGCTAGGATTCACGCACCTTTCACGCCAAAACTTGACCTTTCACGCAAAAACTTGACCTTTCACGCACCTTTCACGCACCTTTCACGCATCACACGTTTCACAACAGCTTGCAGCAAAGTGCAATTTTCCACTCCAAATCACAATGACGCTGAGGCACACCCTGACTTTCCCCTGCAGGCGTGCCCGTGCTCTTGCGCCCCTTGCTCCAAGAGTGTGACTTCTTTCAGTCACAACATTGATAGCTGGGGCAAGCGCAAGAGCTGTGTGAATTTCATGAAAAGGGCCAGGCTTGGGTCAAAACGCATGTTGCGTTCAAGAGACAAACGATTCTTTTCGATGGAAGCTGGCCCTTGGAAATCTAATCAAGCTGGCACATAGAGACCTGCCCTGAGTTTCTCAGACAAAAACGCTTTAAGCTCCTTCTCGTCGGCGCGCCCCCACGCAGAAGGCTTGCCCTGTTTCTTCCAGGCCTTGGGGCACGAGGGAAGATATGGAAAGATCAATGCAAATTCAAATAGCAATTTCAACAAAGGTCAGACACCCTTGGCGTCGCCAGCAACACCCTTTGTAGAGCCTTCCAAACTGGCACCCTCAACGAAGGTGCCAGATTCAAAGGCCAAGGAAGGTGCCAAACTCAAAACAGCGCAGCAGCTCAAAGCCCCAGCATCACCAGCAACACCCATTGAAATTCGAATCTGGCACCCTCAATGAAGGTGCCAGATTTCGAGGCACACGCAACAGCCAAACACCCCCAGCATCCAATCTGGCGCCCTGAATTGAAGGTGCAAGATTTGAAGCGCGCCCAGCATCACCAGCCTCACCTCCTTTGTACACTTCCAGCCTGGCACCCTCAATGAAGGTGCCAGACTCATAAGCTTGCGTCAGCACTAACAAACGATCGGTGACGAATTAGCTAATTCGTCAGCGTCGACTTTGTTGCTGGCAGTGCTGGTGATGCTGGTGATGCTGGTGATGCTGCCGACGCTGGTGATGCAATCGGCCGTGCGACGAATTAGCAAATTCGTCACCCACCAGCATCGCTAGCATTGCCAAACGCCAGTTCCTTTGTAGAGCCTTCCAATCTGGCACCCTAGTGAAGGTGCCAGACTCAGAGGCCGCCAACACCCCCAGCATCACCAGGTCCGCAGAACAGCCAAACATCACCAGCGCACTCTTCGCAAACCCACGCGGCCAATAATTTTCACAGGGCAACAAATGCTTCAAGCAATATCTCAACTTGAGTTGCTAATATGGCAATGTGCAGCGAAGACTTGTCAAGTGGCTGCGCGAACGGCCGCAACTTCTTTTACTGCCATCATCGTGGCAGCCTTGAGATGCAGTCGCGTCTTCTCCTGTCATCAGGGAAGTTCAAGGCACAGCGCTGGGAACAGGGCTTTCCCAACAGTTGAAATGTGTATGTTTTGCTTTGGTCCAGAAATTTCGTTTTTGGTTTGCTTAAGAACCGACAGCTCGGGCGATCCAAGGCCCCGGCCATAGCCTTAAGATGAAGGCGGATCACTTGCCGCGCGTAGGGCTTTGGGTATATTTGCGATTGCTTGAGCTTTGGCCCGCCACTCCTGCAAGGGAAGGAAACGCAACCATCATGGCCGGGTGGGTGTGTTCACGCAAATCTGAGACCCCGACACAAACAGCCGGCCAGATCTGGAAATTGATTTGACAGTGTTGCCCTTACTGGACAGCTTTTTAGCTTGGGCAGGCGAGATCTTCCTCTTCAGCCGCTTCAGCCAGCCCCTCAGAAAACGGAGGTGCGGGAAACGCATCAAGGACTTGTAAGCTTCTGGCGAGGTCGCCCACACACGAGTGGGTTTTCGGGACCGGTGGCCCCAGGCGCCCATGGGACTTGGGTCAAACAGTGGCAACCAACTACCGGTTTTGAGGTCCGGGCAACCGGACATCGGTGACAGGGATGATGGCGCCCACCAACTGACTCATGAGAACCCAGGAAGGGATGCGGTTGAGGCGGCTAGAGCTGGGCTGCTCCACCACCCACCACACTCCCCTTGCTGTGCAAAGTAGAAGCAAAAGCAGCGCCCGGCAAGTGAGCTTGTTTGCCTGTCTTATGAAAGCCCGGCTCTCATCGCCCCAGAAATCATTATCTGCCTTCCGTTTGGATGTAGACAAGCTAATCCACACGTAGCTTGAACATGGGACTCCTGCGTGCACAAGTCCTCCTTCTTTCACCCTCAAGATCTGGATGAGCGAGGCCAAATAGCCATCCCTGGCAACGGAATAGGTTCCCCCTCTTCAAAAACTGTCCACAAGACTCGTTTCTTTTTGGGGCGGCACAAGTTCCAAGTCCAAGTCCGGCCCAGGCACGGCTTCAAAAGGTCGTTGCTCATCCCCAGGGAAGGATTGAGAAGCTCCACGTGATCCCTGAGTTTTCGAGGACAAATCGTGGCGCCGTTTCTAGCACGTAGACAAGCGCTCGAGCGGAGCAAACAATGGCCCCCGAGGCGAAGGCGCGGGGAGGTTGTGCTCTCCTCAAAGGCGCAGGCGCGCAAGTCGCGCGACAGTTGTTGAGGCCCGCGCGGGCAGCCTTCTCAATGTTTCCGTGTCCAGCAAAAAGATCTAGCACCATAAGGTCCTGGGCGCGGTTTTGGAAGACGGAGCTGGGCTCGACTAGTGACTCGTCAATCTCCAACACGTGTTAACAAGCGGTTTGCGCGCTGTTTGACGCGAGTCTGCTTGTTGGAGAGAACTGAGGACGCGGCTCTGGTTTGGTACCCCATGCCCCAAGCAACTTGAGCTGCCAGGTCACACATCTCTAGCCTTGTTAGCTGTGCAAGCTGGCCCAAGCAGAACGTTAAGCAACTGAGCAAGTGGCCCAACCCTTGGAAACCCCATGGCGATCAGCACGAGCGCAACTGTCTTTGATAAAGCCAGCTGCGACCGCATCCAGGCCGGGCGCTTGCTGCAGGGCGCCATGCCAGGCCTAGCGCCGATTCCAACCGCAACAAGGTTTCCTTAAAAAGCAACAGGGCCTCGGTGTTCTGGGCCAGCTCAGGTCCATATCAAGCAAGGCAAAAAAACTTGAGCCATGACAATTCAAGTCCATTGCGAATTATCGATGTTGGCTGCGCAAACAGGCGTGAGCAACTTCAGTGGTTGCAAAACTATTTCTCCAATTCGCTGCGTGACCAAAACTCAAATCCAATATTGCGGATTTGAGGGGCCTATTGCCCCAAAGCAAGACTCCCCTGCCACACTGAAATGCGGTTGGCCAAGAAAGTTTGGTCGTTGCAAGTTGAAGGTGCGCGAGGGAACACACACAAGGCTGGAACCTCGGGGGGCGTGACGGAAGGGAAAGCTTGCAGCCAAGGTTGGTTGTTCTTGGGTGTTAAAAAGGAATATTTCATCCAGTCGCGGTCAAACCTTTTTGAAAGGAATCCTGTTACGTTCTCATCGTTGCAACTCTTCGGCTCTAACGCTGTGCTGCGGCGCCTCATTAAGCTACTTGTCCACAAGAGAACTAGCTGGGCACCACCCCGCGATCACTTTTGCAACCTTCCACCTCAGTTCCAAGAGGCAGCGTCGAGTGTTGACCACATGGGTTCGGGGCCACGGCGCTGCCTTGGTCTGAACAGACACAATTTCATCAGCTAAGGCCTGTGAATGTAGCACCTTGCCTTCAGCGGCAAGAAATAGCTTATTTTCGAAGAGTGGGAGTTGTAGTCTGCCAAACCGTCCTTGTGAGCGTAACTGACGTGGAATGCGCCCAGGCCCTGTAGCCTGGCAAACGAGAAGCTCCAAGACACCCGCGCAACCAAGCTAGATGCTCACTAAGTAGCAAAACCGCAATTGGCGATGGGTTGGTGAGTGTCTTCAAGTCCGCTGAAGGTCGCACGGTGAAAGACCTCGGGTCGTTATTGGCAAAACATCTCACCCCTACAAAGAAACCTTGTAGGCTGGGCAAGGGGCAAGGCAGTTGCCAGTTGCTCAAAGCTGGGCATCTTAAAGTCCGGATCCGGGATTTCTTTTTGAAAGCTTTCCAGGTTGGCCCTTCGAGAAGCCTAGACATTGCAGCAGCAAAAAATATGCAAAGTATGGCCGCCTCTTGGTTCGGGGTCAGCTTGGGCTTCTTGGCAGGGCATGCTTCCGGTTCCTGAAGCGGCCGAGCATCCGGCCCAATGTCACGGTTGACGGTTGTTGCCCAGCCTGAGCAGGCGTCTTGGGCGTCTCCTTCTTGTTGCCGGAGTCAGACTCCTGGCCAGAGGCGGGAGCTGGAATTTGCAGCTCAGAATTGGAGGGCCGTAAAATAGGTGACCTTTTCTTGTTTTTGAACAGGGCGAGAGAGACACACACAAATGCGCGCGCACACACACACACAAGCGCGCGCACGCACGCTTCCGAAAAGCCGTCAACCTTGCCAAGCTTCAGTTGACTCTTTCTCGTAGTCCGGCTTGTCTTGGTCACGCGCCGCCTTCTGTTCTTGGTCACGCGCAGCCTTCTGCTTAGCTGCCCTTGCTTTAGCAGCGCGTGCTTTCTTTTTACTCGCTTGTTTCTTTCCCAGTTCCTTCTTTCTTTGTTCTGCTAGCGCTGCGTCTTCTGCGTGCAGCTCTTCATCATCGCCTGCGTTGACTGATTTGCGCATGATCCGTTGCGCGTTTAAGACTTGGCTAACATCCTTCAAGTCCTCGCCGCCAATCATCTTTGCTGCTTCTGCTGCTTGCTGGGAAAGAGTGAGCGGCATGGCCGGGAGCACAGGCATGAGTGGGGCGCGATCCTGCAAACCGCTCTTTTGCCGCTCTTCTGCGTCCGCTGCGTCCAGCATCCTTTCGAGCTCGGCTTCCAACAGAAGGGGGTCGGGCTCAGGGCCCGCGTTGGCGGAAGCACTTGGCGGTTTGGGCGCTGCTGGGCTGGTGGGAGCTGGCGCAGCCTCGGAGGCCGGGGCGCTGGGCGGGGCTGTTGCTGCTGCTGGCTTGCGCGAGAGCTGTGAAGCACTGCTGGGCGCGGCTGCTGGGGCGCTGCTTGCTGTCGCTGCTTCTGGCTCGCACGCAGGCGGTGGGCCGGCTGGGGCTGGCTTCTGGGTGGGAGCCGGGGCGCCGCGCGGGGCTGAAACTGCGGTTGCCTGCGGGGCGTCTGGCGCGCGGGCGGGCGGCAGAGCGCTGGAGTGCGGGGCTTCTGGCTTATGGGCAGGCACCGCTGCGGGCGCCGGGGCGCTGCTTGGCGGTTGGGCTGCCTCAACACAACGCGGGGTCAGAATTTTCGCTTTCTTTGGCAATGTGGGTTGGTCTGCTTCTGCGCTCTGATCTGCCGCGCGCTTTGTTGAAGCTTGCGTAGCGCCCTCACCCTCAGTCAAGAAGGTGAGCGCCCCTGGGAGATCGCCTTGGGATAAGAGCAGCGCCAGCCGCGCGGCTGTGGCATCAAAGCCCATGCCGATGATGAGCTCGAGAGGCTGCGGGCGTGTGTCTTGCAAGCTTGTTGGATGTGTTGACGACGCTGTCTGGCTGCGGTCTGTGTCCAACTGTGTAGGGATAGGCACTTCCGGGTCCTCCACTAGCTCTTCTTCCTCTTCTTCCTCCTCTATCACTACTTCAGTTTCTGACTCCTCCTCTTCTTGCTCTTTCTGTTTGGTTTCTGGCAGTTGCGTCTCTGCGTTGTCAACGGAAGACCCTGTTTTGGCTGCCAGAAGAGGGCAGCGTATTGACCTTGTGCGCTTCACGATGCCGGCTGCCTCAGGGGGCTGAAGTTGAACGAAGTTTAAATTGGCCTGGAATTGATTTGGGGCCTGCCTCAAAAATCCTGGTGGTCGTGGCCTTAAGGCGACGCATGTTGTCGTGTCCGGCTCGAGTGGCCTGTGTGCGCGACCACCTGCTCAGCACGTAGGAGCACATTGATCTGTGCGTGTTTCCCTCCGTCACAGCCCAATCTGCCACATCTGGAGCAGCCCAGGCCCCCGTAAGATTCCAGTCCTTGGCCACCTTTGTGAGAGCCGCCTATGGCAGGCAGAGGAGCTGGCACGGGGAAAGCACTGAGGCGCGAGCCTGGCACTCTTTCTGGGTGGGCAGGTCCAAGCTGAAGCTTTCCAGCCACTGCTCTAGCCAGTCCGTGTTGCGCTCCAGCTGAATCTGAGCACGCCAGTTCCAAAACAAACGCGGTTTTAATGGACTTTTTGTGCTTTCTCACCCCTTTTTGAAGGACCTAGCCTCATCCTCAGTGATTGATCCGCCACAGACGTCCACAAAGGAAAACGCCACAGGCACCTGCGAAAGGTCAAAGGCAAATGTTTAAAGGGAATGGCTGGGATAGACAGGCCTGATTGCTTTCAAGACTGGCTCTGATGCGCTGGTCAGGCATGCCACTTCGCCGCGCCAGCTTGACAAGCCGCTCCTCTCGCCACCCAGGCGTACTGAGCCACTTGCCATAGAAGTCCTGCAAGGCTGCTGGAAAAATGAAAATCTAGAACTTGTCAACCCCAATCCTGGAGCTTGGCGACCCTTTCCAGAGAGACTGCGCTATTCGGCATTGCGGCTTCAAGAGTGCGACGGCCCAGCTAGAGCCACCGCTGAGATTTCCAACTTTCCAGCTGCATGCTCTGCGCAATTCAATGTAAGGCGATGAAGTGCTTATGCCCCTCAAATCCCAAGGATCTTAACACCCTCTTACATCATAGCCCCTTTACATCAATGGCCCAACGTAGCAGGAAGAGCGTGCCTGCGAGCACATGATGTTGGACGTTGAAACTGCGGTGTCCTAAGAATCAAGGCCCGTCAACTTTCAGGGAACGCCTTTGCGCAAAGGAAAGGCCCGGGCGCTTGCAAAGAGCCCTCTGCATCCGGAAGCACGATCATTGCGGGCGCTGCCTGGCAGGAAGCGAAGCAGAAGGCGCAGTGGCGCTGGGCGTCGCAAGCGTGCCAGGCGCGCAAGTTTTGATCTGCGCGGGTCATGTTTTCCATGGCGTTGACAGTTGCTGGTTGAAGTGGTGGACATTGTGTTGGCAGGGCTTTGTTTCCACTAATCACCTTAGAAGGCCCCCGGAAAAATCCTGGCGTCAAGCCACTCGAGCCTGACCAGGCGCGCGAAGTGTGAGCCAATGCGCAGAGCGCTTGAAAGAGAAACAACCGCGCGGTTGAGGGGGAGGGGCCCAAGGGCCTGATTTGCAGGCTGAGGTCAACCGGCCCTGGCAAAAAAAGGGAACAATGGTTGCGTTTGAAAGCTTTGCACATGTCAACAACCTTCGCCAGTGACGTTCCTACTTTTGAGGGTGTCCGCATCTCTGCGCCAAAGTCAGGGCGACAGCTCGGCAACCTCAACCAGCTTTTTGCTTGCTTGGAAACGGGGTCTGGGGATGTCCTTCCCAAACAGTAGCAAGGAACCAGATTCTTGTTAGTGTCCCTCCCTGACTGATCCTTGGATTCCCAACTGTTTGGACCATGTCTGGCTGGTTTTGCCAGGTATTGTTTTTCAGCGTGTTGCCTCCCAAAGGAAGACATGTCCGATATATCAAGGGTCATGCCGCCAACACGCCACCGACCACCACCGACCAACAACCCACAGTCTCGCACACATTTGGAGTTTCCTGCGCAGGCCGCGTCACAACCGCAGCAAGAAAACAACAAAGCAGAAAGACGGAACAAACAAGAGTAGAAGAAGGACAAAAGGAAAGAAGGAAAGAAGGGAAGAAGGGAAGAGGGAAAGGAAAATGAAAGAAAGAAGCAAGGGAAGGAAAGACAAAAGAAAAAAGGAAGGGAGGAAATGAAGAGGCAAAGAGAGAAAGAGATTAAGAAAGAAAAACAAACAGAAAGCAAGAAAAAGGACATGAAGAAAAACAGAAAGAACGAAGAGAAAAAAAGAAAGAGCAAACGAAAATAAATGCAACGAAGGAAAACAAAGAAAACAAGGAAGACAGAAGAAAGAAAAAATGAAAGGCAACAAGACGGGAGTAAAGAAGGAACAAAAGAAAAAATGAAGAAGGAAAGACAGGGAAACAGCCAGGAAAGAAAAGAAAGAACGAAGGGATAAGCGCAAGGCAGACAGGACAGGACAGGAAAGAGAAGGCAAGGGAGAAAGAAAGAAGAGGGAAGGACAAGAGAAAAGAACACAGCAGAAAAAGAAATTATTCCAAAAGAAGCATTGAAAGACAAGAAAATGAAAGAACAAAAGGAGGAGAAAGAACGAGAGAAAAAAAACAACAACACAACACATGACATTAAAAAACATGGGAGAAAAGAAGGAGGGAGCCAACAAACCAACAAGAAAGGTTCGGCCAAGTAGCTTGAACTTGCATGGAAGTGCGCTTTTTGCACTAGTTTTTTGCTCGCTTTGCCGTTGTGACCCTGTCGTGAAGGAAATCTTGACCTTTCACGGTAAAACTTGGTCGAGTCTTAGGGTCTAGTTAAACTTGGTCTTCGCGTCTTAGGGGTTCACGTCGTTGCACAGCAGCTGGTCGCAGCCCACGTTGCCCTGCGCGGTGAGCCCGTCCAGCGTGGCCGAGCCCGTGAGGGCCAGCGAGTCCGCCAGCAGGTCCGTCACGGAGACCGACTCTCCCTTGAAGGCCGAGGCCCTGATCTGCATGCTGTACAGGTCCAGCGTGCCCGCCGACTGCTGCACCAGCCCGGGGATCGAGCCTCCGAAGGCTCCGAAGTGCAGCTTCGCGATTCCGCCCGGCGGCACCGAGAAGTCCAGGCGCGCCGTGCTCCAGACGCCCTGCGAGGGCGTGCCGAGGAAGGTGCCGGTGACGCCCACGTAGTCGTAGGTATGTTCCAGGCGAAGGCGCTCAGGGTCATGGCGTAGCCCTCCAGCTGGAAGCCTCCCACCGTGAAGCTGGCCGAGGCCACGGAGCTCTGGCTGTTGGAGCGCACCAGAAAATTGCCTAGCGTGGTGAGCGTGGGCTCCAGCAGCACCTCGCCCAGGGTGGCCAGCGTGACGTCGTCGGCCCCTCCGTCGAGGAACTCGTGCTTCAGCAGCAGCGCCGAAGCCGCCGTGTCCTCCTCCACCTCCGCAGTGTTGCCGGTCTCCAGGGTTGCGTCCAGGATCTGGAGGCCGTAGACGTTAAGAAACATTGGCCGACGCCCGCACGCAGACGAACCATCAAGGCCGTCTACGAGGATCCCCGCACGGCTACAACAGCTTCGTGCCTCTGGAGCCCATGAACCAGCTGCAGGTGGACCTGGCCGACATGAAGGCCTTCGGGGGCAAGCCATACCCCTTCATGCTGGTGGCCATCGATGCGCTGACCAAGAAAGTGGCCGCGGAGCCGCTGAAGGACCGTCTTGCGAGCACCACCGCGGCGGGCATGAAGAAGGTGTTCCAAGCCCTGGGGGTGCCGGCCAACGTGTACTCCGACGACGGCTCCGAGTTCAAGAGGGAGTTCAAGGAGCTGATGGATTTCTGGGACATCGAGAAGCAGGTGACCAGGGGCCACGCCTACTTCGCGGAGCGCACCATCCGCACCATCAAGGAGGCCATGTTGCGCCGCATAGCAGCCGGAGCGGGCCGGCGGGGGCAGTGGCACCTCATGCTGGCTGACGTCTTGAGCCAAATCAACGGAAGGAAGCACGCTACCACGCAGGTGGCGCCGAACCTCGCCTACTCTGACCCCGAAATGGCTGAGATTGCTCTGCGCAACATCGAGCGCAGGGCCAAGCACAAGGCGACCCGCCCGGAAATCAAGGTCGGGGATATGGTTCGGATCAGGGTTAAGCCGATCGAAAGCAGGGGCTCCTACAGGGTCAACGAGATAGCCTGGAGCGAAAAGGTATACAGGGTTGTCTCCGCCGAGAGCGGGGAGATGGGGGGGGGCTTGGAGGGGTGGCCGGAAAAGGTGGTGCACAGGGATCTCCGAAAAGTCCCCGAAAACTCAGCTCCCGAACCGCGGGGGTTGGAGGTGCAATCCCGCCAGCGGAGGCTACAGAGAGGCCCCAGGCTCCCACCTCCTTTTTGATGCTCTCTGTGCCTCTACGTCTCTACAGCTCCGCCTGCCACTCACTGATGAGCTCCTCAGCGTCGGGTTGGGCCCTCGTCGTCGTCATCGCCCCACCGCGCGCGCCATGTGATACCAGCCTCAAACCAGCGCAGGGCAAGCTCTGCCCGCTGTGCGCGCGTGGCCGGGGTGCGAAGAGCCGTGAAGATTTGACCCGCCTCTTCCGCGATTACCGCTGCGTGCTCGGTGTCTTCGAGCTTTCTCGCGAGGCCTCGGGCATCCAAGTCCGCGGCGTGCAGCTGCTCCTCGAGGAGCTCGATGCGGCGGCGCTGTGCGAGCGCTCGGCCTTAAGCAGCGCATCCTCGCGAGGCCGGGCTGGAGGCGGAAAGATCCGTCTCGGACCTGGGAATATAGGTCTCCTAGGTAGTGGCGCTCACCGGGCTGGGGTCTGAAAGATCCGTCTCGGACCTGGGTTTTAACTCTTACTCTAAGGAGAGGCGCTGACTGGGCTGGGGTCGGGAAGATCCGTCTCGGACCTGGGTTTTAATTCTTACTCTAAGGAGAGGCGCTCACCGGGCTGGGGTCGGGAAGATCCGTCTCGGGGATCCTCGGCTCAAGGAAGAAAAAAGAATCCCCAAGGGCACTCGCCTGCGAAAATGATCCGCGCCCGGGAGGAATCGAGCCCGCGGTCTGTAAGCTTCAGAGCTGCAGAGCCTCTTCCAATTGAGCTATGGATCCTTACTAGGGAGGCCGCTGGGCCGTCAGAGCAGTCGCAAGGCAGCGAGCGTCCCGCCCCACCCACGCGGCGGGCTTCTCCATAAGCCATGCCTGCACGCAACGGAAGGCCGCCGAGGAAGTCATCTTGAGCAGCTGCGGCGGGCGATCGAGCATTTGGACCATTTGAGCATTTGGCGGGCTTTTTTTCTATTCAGCGCGTTCGCCTGCGAAGATTTCTGTTCTCTTCCTCGAGGATCTCGACGCGGCGCTCCAGCGCCTCACGGCGGCAAGTCTCGCGGTTGGCCTCCCCCTCAAGCTGAGCAGCCCGCTCCCGCGCCATCTGCAGTTCCGCCAGATATCGCTCACTGCGTTCGCAGAGCTGCTCCAGCACCCCGAGGAGAGTCCCACTGCGCGCAGCTTCGGTGATGAGATCCTCCTCAAGGTACTCGATGCGGAGCCGGTAGTACAGACGCTCAGCCTGGAGCAGCG